GACATAGTCTTTTGTCTTTTTGGAGTCTTTCTAGGTGCTGTGGTAGAGCCTTTATCAGAACTATCTTTCTGTCCAGTACTAATTTTTGAATCGGATGCTGGCATTTTTATCGAATTTATCTGAAATTTATGATGTGATTTTGCTTAAGAACAATAAATGAGTTGTAGATGGTTTGAGCTAATATTGGAGAATGTATGAGTATGTATATTGGTGTAGAGCTGCTCAATGTAGATATTTATAGTTTTATATTTTGATAGAGCCCAAGAGATGTGTTGGAAATCACAAAAAGCTGAAATTCGGCTACCTACAAGGCAGCTAGAATGATCCTCGCTAATGATGCGTTTCGTTCCCTTACATATTTTCCCTTCAAGGCCAGACCTATGGCCCGGCCCATGAAGGAACGGAAGGCTATTCTCAAGAATTATAATTAGGCATCTATAGATACATTTTCAAGGAGTTTGGAATTAAAAAAAATTCCTGCTCGAATGAGATGATATAGCTTCGGGTTCTGAGCTTGAAACTTGAGGCTGCAAATCTGACGTGAATACTGGGGATTAAAATCTAGGTTTGGAAGTCTTCAGTTTGGATTTCGAACCTGTAAGATCACATCAATCAAATCAATCCAATCAGTTCACAATCAAATATCTAAAAATAGCAAAGCGATTCAATCCGCCAAATAATCTGGCAAACAATAGACCCAAACCCTTCAACCACGAGGGAATATCTTGTCCAATCCAGCCCGAGTCAACCGATGGTCGTCTATAGCCGACTGTTTTACACGACCTATCTAGACCGCCATACGTAAAAGAATTGGGAACGCAGACCGATCCTCGCATCACAGACCCAAATGCAGGATTTAGCTGAAGATTAAGATAAATTAGAGCCTGGGCGCTAATGTAAAAATGTATTTTGTTGGAAAGGGGAATTTTAGCTCCTGTCCTATTCCATTTGGCCCATGCAACATATGACAGCACCGTAATATCTCGTCGTCTTTAAGTTTCCCTCGTATTATTACATGTGACAAGGTAGGAACCACACGAAGAGCAAACAAATCCATCATCATTCTGGTGTGGGTGAGAAGACTCCTGATCGCGTGACTTTCTGTAGCTAACGCTTTTATATCTTTTTTCAGTACTTTGAATTCAATCACTGATATTCTTGCCCCTTGCTTGGCCATCTTCTCTTTAGTCATTAACTTTTGTACCCACTATCTCTACCATCCACATCGGAGAAGCTACGCTTCCAGTCATTATGCCTGCTTCAAGTGTTCATGAAGCTTCCTTGATATAAATCAAACTGGCAGACAGCAATTATACTTGCATTCAGAACATATAAAGAAAGGCTTTGTTAAGAATCGAAACGAAAATGTGATCGAATTTTCCTGATATAAACCAGATATCGAATAAAAGTTTGAAATGGATAAACCACAGCGAGCTACCAGTGGAATTTCATCCTAGAGCTATGATATCGACATGGGCATTATGGAAAAAACATAATCTGATGCGGAATCCAATAAAATGATACGATTATATCACCATGAGGTTTCCCAGTTCAGTGTTTATGAGGTTGTATTGAAACTTAATCAACTGAGATAATAGTTATCAATGGGAACTACCCCTTCTTGGCTATTTCTGATTGACCTCTTGTTTTAAAAGAAATCATTGTGGCATGATACTGTTCTGACTTGACAGTTCTGTTGCAAAATTAGTCAACGTTTAGCTTTCGGATTATGTATGATGTTCCAAAACTTGGAGGGTTGTAACTGAATGTTTGCGAATAAGATCAATCGGAATCAATTCTGGTGAACATTCAACATACTTACAAGGTGCGCGGGGTACTAATTGTGTTACATTCTTTCTGAATCACTGTAGATTGACTTTGTTGACTTTGTAGATGTAGAAGTGAAACGTACCGTTTTGTAAGCGTGAACTCTGTGCTATACTAACCTTTACAGCCTCATCGAAAGATGTTTCCAATAGATTTTGATCATAGATGGGGAAAACAAAACCGCAAAAGATATCAATAGAAATTTCGGCAGACTTCTGCGTCAGCTTACGGACTACCCCATGATACTCATTCTATCAAACTGTAAGCGGATACGAAACAAAAAACGCCGAATGAATAGAAATCGTCACCAAAATGTGGCAAGCTGTCGAATAGATCCAGATCTTCGCTCTAGCCTGACTATGATCGCTCCGTGAAGATATTGTGAATCTGGGGTGGTGGTGCAAACACACGTAATGTTTGTGCTACTAGATTACGTATAGTGTGGGGGAACATGTCAAGTACCGAAAGTTGCAGTGAGGCGTCAAGCGGAGCTCCGTTCTCTTGAAAGGCTGTTCGACAGAGTAGCCCATGTGCCTGATTGGGTGGGAACGGGGTATGGATATAAGTAATCTATCGCATTAATTGACCAGGCTAGATTACCAAGCGTAGATTTGCTCGAAAGTCTTGGGATGTTGAATACGCAGATTACAGAAGATGTTGAAAACTGGGGCATCTACTATTGTTTTTACGAACTAAATGAAGCGAGGAGAAAATAAGGGGAACAAAGTTCATGCTAGTGTTACGGCGTTGACGGCCTTGTTGCCAAAGTGAGATTTCTGTGTCTTTAACGATGCATGTAGACTAATTCTCTTCGCATATCAAGTTATGCGCATTTGAACCTCAATACATCAAGTTATAGTGATTGCTGCCGAACCGTGTCTTAAACCAAGAGTCTCTCATTACGACGACTTTCAAAAACATTTGAGGCTTGGATGAGTTTCTGGTTCTTTCAGATTGAGGATGCATATTGATCAAGCCGAAACAATGATTATTTAACGGGAAACTCTGCCCGGCACGGCGGGGTACGTAACGTGGGAAGCAAACGTGGTTAATGCAGCTTGTGATGAGCTATCCAAAATATCTGTAATTATATAACAGAATCTGAATCTTTATGTGCATATAATTTCGTGTTATCCTTTCATTTATTTCTGAAGTTCTTAGTCTTTCACTCGCAAATTCCAACAGTTTTTCGGATCCAAAAAATCACTTTCTAAATACCTTACCTCTAGCAAGGTCCCTTATATTGAAGCGGTAGCGTATCGCTCAGAATTGCAAGTATGCATATCCATATTTTGGTAATGGTGGCTAGTCTTCGCACTGTGGTGCTTGCGAATTATCCATCGGATGATAATAAAGATGCTGTCGCCGATTATTCATTTGATCCAAACCAGGCTGGTGTACCGGACGTTGCATTGGATGCAAGTCAGGCGGCTATAGTGTAAGTTTTCCATGATTCCACGTCAATATTTTGCCCTTCTGAATTCCTCTTCTTTTACCTCCGTCAAAAAGCCTCCAACTGACACTCATATCCCAATGCAGCTCTGTAATAGTCTCCAGTCTCTCATCTCTCTCCACTGCCCTCGATATCCCTTCATCCCTTGCCTCCGAGCTTTCCAACATTCCCACCTCGGCCTCAACCCTTGGATACTCTCCAACGGGGGTTTCGCAGCTAGACGAACAACTTTCCGGTACCAATAAGCCGGATTGGTACACCTCACTGTCTCCAGACGCAAAGTCCTATGTCGATAATGCTGTAAGCATACTAGATAGTGTGTACAGTCTCGAGAGTATCTTAACCACTGCCACTGCTTGGAAGACTACATCTGTTGGAGTAGTAGGTGGTACGACGGCAACACCGGCTAGTACTTGGGAGTCAACATGGGCGAGTAGTACAAAGTTTGATGATTGGGGGTCGTCCTGGACGAGTACTACCGGTGCTGGAAAATGGGATTTCTCATGGGCGAGCAGTACCGGGACGGACAATTGGGACTCGTCATGGGCAAGTAGTACCGGCGTCAATAACTGGGAATCAACATCGCCAAGTAGTACAAGTTCTAAGGCTGGGGAATCAGTGTTTGGAAGTAGTACTGCCACTAAGGATAGCACGGCGGCGCAGACGACAGGACCAATCGAGGTAACCACATCGAACGCGACTCCGGTGATGTGCAGTCTGAGTCTAGGTCTGGTATTAGCGGTGGCTGTGGGGGTAATTTGCGCAATGTAAAGGAAAGGAGTAGTAAGGTTGGGATGAGTACACATGTAATGAGGAGAAGGCAATTTCTTTTTCGTCTCTTGTTCTGTTATTAGTTAGGGGGTCGGTAGCGATGAATAGGTGAGGATGTAATATCGCGAAGCGAGTATTCTTTCTCTTTTTTGTTCTGTTCGTGCGTATGCAATGGCACAGTTGGTTCAATTGGGATACAGGTTAACTAGGAGTCAATATCTGAATATCTTCAACAACAAATGTAATGCTTAACACGAGAATGATCGTCAGCGGGATGATTACCTAATGCTACTATCATTTCTCTCTCTGAGACTTTTGCGCAACTATCATGGGATACGTGATGCTAATTCGTAGTCGTGTCTTCTTACATACCATAATCCTCCAACGAATCCCGCAAAGCCGTTGAACCTCCAATGTAGACGGAAGGATCACAAATATAGACTCAGTATTCACGCTACGAACCTTTCCAACAATCTCAGCTGTTAGCTGAAGATGATAGGATACTATCAATCAATGAAATGGCATTTAAAGAAGAGTCATATCTCGATGCAATGTTCTTCCAGACTGGATGTGCATATTTTTGTCTCAAAACTCCTGTTTTTCTTGAAGCCCTTGTAAATATCGATGTTGCTCAGCTCCTGATAATCTCAACATGTTCGACCAGGAAGGTGATCATATCCAAATGCTTTCTACTCAAAGATCATTCGGGCGAGCTTTCTGGTCGTTGTCAATCCAGATTCCCCCGCGATGTCTCGGATAAATACCGGCCGATAGCTCTCCGACATCACCACCCCACCTTTTTCATTACTATTGCTAGCTAGATTCAAGACCTCATTTAACCAAAAAGGACCAAACAAGCCCCAATACCTACGTAAACTAGGAATATTTCACGCTGGTGTCTACAACGCTTTGAACTTCATATCAATCTTAAAGCTTCAGAGGCGCAAAAATGGCAGCAGTAACCAATTCTGCTATATCAAGTGTGCCTACTAAGATAGAGGTAATCTTAAACTTCGTGATTGCATTCTTACTGCTCACTAACACTTCTCATTAGATTGTTGACAAACTAAAGGCAAGCAGTGGAAATGTTGGGTTAGTCGTTATTGCTCCGTCAAAAACATTGATACTGACACATTTCAATCAGTACCACATATGGTCTCTCAGACCAAGTTACTCTTCTTCAACATGATTCCGCATTTGCATCACTAGTTGGCGAAGCCCCGTCACATGCACTCCTATTTTCTACTGCTGGATCAACCAACAACCCTTTCTTTCACGAAGCCTGTGTTTTGCTACCCGACCATGATGAACTCTATGTCACATCAAACCTCCTACAAGCTACCAGTTCCGCAAACTTCCCAACCATTCTGATATCTAGAATTAAGCTCCATCGAAATGACGACGGGAGTATCAAATCTGCTGAGTGGGCTAAAATGCGTCCACCACCAGGCATTGACATGCCGAATGGTGGTGTTAATTATCAAGATGGTATTCTATTTTGTGCTCAGGGGAATAGAAGCGCAGGCTCAGGTGGTATTTATCATATGCCCAGATCTTCACCCCCGAAACCTATGGTGACGAACTTTCATGGAAGACATTTCAATTCTGTAAACGATGTGGTGGTGGCTAAAGATGGTAGCATATGGTTCACAGATCCATGTTATGGATGGGAGCAAGATTTCCGATTAAAGCCTAAACTTCCTTGTCAAGTATATAGATTCGATCCTATTACGGGAGATATTAGAGTTGTGGCAGATGGCTTTGGTAGACCAAATGGAATTGCTTTCTCGCCGGACGAGTTAGTGGTTTATATTACGGATACAGATCAAATCCACGGAGATGGAAACGAGGATTTAACGCGGTATGTCTCTTTATTTTACAATCAGGTATCTTTCGCTGATTTCGATTCAGTCCTGCAACAATCTATGCTTTTGATGTTCACATGACATCAGGCGCGCCCTTCCTCATAAACCGAAGAGTTTTCGCGTATGCAGTTGATGGCTTCCCAGATGGCATCAAGTGTGATGTTCACGGTAATGTATACTCCGGCTGTGGTGATGGCGTGGAAGTCTGGAATTCAGCGGGGACTTTAATCGGCACCATTTTAGTTCCTGGCGGCGTAGCAAACTTCTGCTTTGGAAAGGATGGGGAAGTATTCTTGTGTGCCGAACAAAAGTTTTGGAGATTACAGTTGGCAAGTACGACAAAAGGCTCGTTACTTGGGATTTAACTAAATTACCATAATGTTATTGGAGGACAAAAGAATATGTATTTGAATAATATAGATGATTTTGAGTATTCATAAGTATTGTTGTATAAAAGATGAGTATTTCTCTGAAATATTTAATGATTCATATACTCTCCACCATTGGCCTCAATGTACGGCATGGAGCCGACCCCTCATCTTGATCTACATAACGGTATACACACCGCATAAGACTTGGATAGAGATTCAATAGCTGCCTCTTGAGTCTTGGATCTTTGAAATTGTCCTAGAGCAACAGCTGCATGATTTGTATCTACATCTTCACGACAGTAACCCAAACCAATAGCACACAAAGACAATCAGCGAGCTATTAGCCATGGCCACCACAGATATGAATCCACCCTCAAGATTCCAAAGATTTCTCTCTTCCCCTATCCGTTGGTCATATGACGACATAGAGAGCCAACAGACTCAGCAATCCGTCATTCACAGCATTTGGAGGAGGGTATGGTATGTTTTAATCTCTTTCGCTTAATACTCTCTCTTGTTTTCAAGGTGTGGAATATTGGAGAAAATGCTGATTGATAGACTTGGATAGTTGGGATGTTATGCCTGGAATCATGAGGATAAAGATGTTTGTGTTAGTTGTCAAAAGGCGAGGGGAAGAGAAGTGAGATCGAGATTGGTGGCACTGAAGAGGGCGTTGGGATTTACAGGCTAGGATAATAGTTTGGAAGGTGGTGTAGGGAGAGGAAATGATGGGTGAGCGTAATGATCGATCAAAGGGGTGATGTTTTGTTCATTTTTGCAGTTGCTCGGATCAGCAATTTGAAATGGCCAGCTCTGTTCTTGGGAATTTTATACGAGATTCTACCATACAGACACGGTGATCGTTCTGAATACCTGAAATATCGCACTTATCTCGATCAGAGGTTCTTCTCTTGGCCGAATTCATGAATCAATGTCGCCTACAAAAGATTTCATTTTACTCTTCTCGAGTGATTTTAGATCCACCTCTTCCACTTGATAAGTTTCATGGACTCCCATTTTATGATACCAACAGTGAACGCAGATTAGCAACAAATATAGGCAAGAAATATGATGAAAGGATAAACAAGGGTATATACTACATGTTCAATTTACAATTTCAAACAAATTCGTGTTTCTATATCTTAGTGCGCTTTGCTGATGATGGCGTGTCATTCACTTGCTCATTACCATCAACTCCCAAGATAGTTCCGTCTGAATCGACAGTGTCGTCCGAATCATCCGAAAATTCCTCAAATAAGCGTTTCCGATCGATGTCATTATTATTGGAGCTCACAATGACCGTGAACTCACGACATGCCGTATCGGCTTCGATGATTTTTTCGAAATAGGGCTTCATATCGGCATTCGTGCTACTCTCTGAGAGACTCGGAACGAAAGCTCCAAGATAGATCAAAACATGAGTGGATAGGTTGATAAGAGATTGTTCGTAATCTTTATCAAGACTCATTCCTTTCCACTGAGAATAAATATTCTCCATGACGGTATATCGAGCGATTATGCTGGCAATTTCGCTCATTTCTGTGATAATCCTGGTTTGGGAATCAACTGTCCAGTTTGTACCATACGAAAGCAAGTTCTGCAAAAGTCAATTAGCTTACTATTGTTTGATTGATATGAATCAACACACCTCGACGGCTCCCAGAAGACATGCCCATGCAATAGCTCCAATTTTAAGGCCGATCGTCTCTTCCATCACGGCTAGAACATCAAGTATTTTCTGGATACAGCTAGCAGCACGCGGAAACATCTGACGGCGTAGAGCAATCCTCTCTTTGTAGAGATTTGCAAACCAATCTGAATTGGCAACAAGCGGAATAGATCCTGCTTCTGAAGTAGCGTAAACGCGCTGCCATTTCAAGTACTGTTCTAAATTACTCCACATGACAGCATCCAATGACTTTACATTTATGAAACCTCGTATCCAAAATCCACCTGGGCCCTTGTTAGACACTTCATTCTGAAAATTGAGAATAGAGTCGTTATTCGATCTATCAATTTTTGATGACTTGAAAACTTGTCCCGAGAGATCATCAGTATAACCTGGGGGCAATTCCATACGTCCGCGAGGTTCACTCTTGCCATAAGGCGATATAGACGGATAAGAAGGCTGTCCATCTCTTATATAGGTTTCTTGTGATGCTCGATTTAGCATTTGAACCTCTTGAGGCTGTGTTTTGGGTAACAGATTTTCAGTTCCAAGTCCATGGAGTACCGATGGCATGTTAGCCGAGATTTCCATGCTTAGGCAGGCATCAAAATTATGCCATCGTCCGGAATCTCCCCCAGCAACTCTTTCGGTAACTCCAAGACGTCGGTGGGGAGACAACCGAACCATTTGTTTTTGTTGCTGTTGTTGCATTTGAATTCGTTGAGTTCGTTGAATAGATGACTGCAGCTTTTGGTGTTGTTGTTGAGTTCCATGCGAAGGCCATGTTTGAATTGCAGTGTATTTTTGATTTGTCTGAAGTATAACACCCGGAGTAGTACAACTAGAGTTATTGACCTGAACAAATTGTTCAGATTGAGCAAAACTCGGGTCAACAGGACTCAACTGGGTGGGGATACCAAACAAGTTGGGCTTTGAGTAAGGAGAGTCGGCAGATTTTTTGCCGGTAAATAGAATATCGTCAGCTCTGGATGTCTCAGGCTGGGGATTTGGTGCCACTGAATTTGATGGTAGCATCGCATTCTGAATTCGCTGCACCTGGCGTGTCAATGCTAACCTGTCTTCATTCTCCTTCTTGATAAGTACAAGTTGGCTCTGATCGTCCAGATACGCGAGTTCATTGGCAGGTACATTTAGTTTAGGAAGTGCGCTTTCTAAGTTTGCCTGGTGAGATGTTTCTGATAATTGTTGACAGCTATTTTGCTGCCCCAGTTTTGCGATTTCTTGTCTCCTTTTATTCTGATCCTTAAGAAGTATGAGCTGAACTTCATGACCCGCAAGTGATCGTTTTTGTACAGTAGCTGAACTGCGGCGTCGACGACGACGTTCTTCCCGATTGCGCTGTACCCAAGCCTCATGCTCATCCAATGGCGAGCCATCTTGCTCCTCGTTGTTAAACGCGTCTGTGCAGTCGTGTGCAGTAAGGTCGCGTAGATCACTGATGTAGTGTGGATCAAGCTCACGCTTAGGAGGGAGACCTGATTATATTAGCTAATACATGTGTATCTTGGTTTTTATATTAACCTACATTTTGAAGGATCTGCGTTGTTGATTTGGTTTAAGGTGTGTCTAGTTTGTGTAATCGAAGCATCGAGATTACCACGATCAAGATATGACGCAACTTGCGAGGATAAACTGGTTTGTTTCGTAAGATCAGTATCGTAATCATGATGCCCCATGAGATCATTACTTTTCGACGGGATATATTTGAGTGAACTTGGGCTCATCTTCTTCTCCTCTGTAAGATGCCAATTGTTTGTTGTCACAGACTCATCCATAAATTTGGAGTTATCCAGACGTTTTTTATCTCCCATGAAAGACGATGAGGTTTTATCAGCCTGGATTTGAGAGCTATCAGCTTCTATGCAACTGTAGGCTGGGCTCACTGGGGAACAAGCGGGAGATGCAGAGTAGCCATCGGATTCCTCCATTCGAGGCCCATCAACGCCAAATCCGCCAAAACTTGTCTCTTTTCCCATTGAAGAACCCAAAACTGCATCAATTTGATGATTTTGACTCTTCGCACTATCACTCTCTACAAGAATGTGTTCCGGGGACGCAGGAGAGTGTATGGCAGAAGGGATGTAGCCCATTTCAGGCATGAAGTTAAGTAATTCAGGTATTTCACAGGACGATTCGCGCTCTAATGCCTCATAATATTCGTATTGACTTGAAGATTCTCCCTGGTATCCATGATACACTTTGCCATGCTCTATTTCCTGAGGCTTGTTCTCGACTTTTGGGTGAGGCGAGGTTTCCGCTTGATCGGTAGGCCCAGTTGTTGCCGAGATATTGCTAGGAACTGGCAGATGCTTGGCCCATTCCTCAGCATCCAAGATATTCATGTTGAAATGTTTCATCGCTGAAAGAATCATCTCATTTCTCCAACCCTTGAGAGATTCTGATTCGGATGTATTCAGTTGGTGGCTCTCTTCTACTGAAAATGAAGGTTTGTCATGTCTATCGGATACCACTACAGACTGTGGTATCACAGGTATATCGTTAAGATCTTCTGGCTTGAAGAAGCTCTCCACTTGTTCTGACATTTCGACATGTTAGCCCAGTTTTGAAAACACTCACCATCACATATTGCAGATCTCAGGTCTTGAACCTTGAAGACTTACTCGTTCGGCCATCTAACGATTCTCGATTTTGATATGATAAGGCGCTGTGGAAGGAATCTACAGACTGGTTTGCATGAGTGTTTAGGATTGGCGGCATGCTCTTTGGCACCACTGCCATTGAAATGAATGAGGATGTAGAAAAGCTGGTTGTACTAGGTATTCTAGTTGCTGGGGGACTAACATAGGTTGACGATGTAGCCGATGTACCTAAGGTAGAGCTTGAGCCCCCCGAAACTAAAGATGCGCTCGATGCTAGCAAAGATTTTGACCCCAAAGAGGCTCCAGTGGTATCCTTCATCGACATGCCAGCCAATTTTAGTCTCGTATCCTCCACTTGCATGCGTGTCTCTGTTGACAGACCATCTCTGTTCGGGCCACCAATCATACTGGGGTTATTTATACCCAAAGAGTCCATCATATTATCAGCTCTCAGTGCACTCAACACGCTCAATGTACCCATCAGACTCAACTTTAAGTCACGAAGTCTCGCCAACAACTTCATAATTTCCTTCTCTTTGTACAACCATTTAATTTTGGCCAGAACACTACCACTTCTCAATTTCCGAATAATTCGATCGATTTTCGTGCATATCGTCGCACAATCCCCAATGATTTTAGCTGTAAGCCTATACACCTGATCTGCATAGCGACCATCTTTACCGTGAAGTAATGTAGATAGCAGATGAAGCTCATCTGAAAAAGTTTCAAGGTCCCTTGCTAAATCCTTGATATCAGAAGGGGCATTGGATAGAGCTTCACCCACTTCGTAAAGGGTCTTTGAGATTGTGTAGACAGTTCCGGCCAGCTGAAGAATGCTGGCTATTCCACCGATTACTTCAAGAGCCATGATGATGAGCCCGTCAGGCTATCTAACCCTCAGAAGCTTCCCAATTACATGAAATAAAGACTTGGTAATCAATGCTTGTTGGTGCAAAAGTTTGTTTGTAATATTTTCTCTTTTTGAAATACAAATCAACGTTTGCAAGTTTTCAGCACTCAACACATGACAATGCTGAGCCCCCTTCTCTCCTGCATGTCATTCTCATATGGTCCATTTTTGGATCCATCCAGCCGACATTCCATTGCTATTGGAGAAACCCTGACAGGCCTCTCCATTTCAAAGTCAAGAATTAACCATTGGCACAACAATTGAATGATCATTTGAATACGCAGTTTACATAAGGATATTTAACCACCTGGCATTGTCCCCTCTAGCAATTCTCTAGAGTGATAGTTTATTTCGCATCCCTTTCTGATACACGGAAAGTTTAGAGGCCGACGCTAAGCCTTGACGCAACGTTAGCTTTGTTTTACCTAGGCTCGCCAGGCTATATTCCAGAAGCCTCTAGACTTGCATTCATAATCAGCCTCGCCATCGTCACTAATCCAATTCCCATCTTAACACCTACACAACTTAACCCCGTCCATAGTACGACACATTGGAAGCCTATTCGAGGTGTTTATATATTCCCATCCGTCATCATGGCCTCCTCGTCAAGATCAGAAACTCCAGAAGATACATCCTTCAGTACCATGGACGAAAAAGACCCAACATTAATTGGTGTACATTGCCAGTACGAATACTGCAATCAATTAGATTTCCTCCCATTTCGTTGTGAATCATGTCGCGGAACGTTTTGTCTCGATCATCGTACAGAAACAAGCCATCATTGCTCAAAACCTGGAGAATGGGCAGCCAGACGTCGGCTTGCCAATCAATCTAAACGTTCTCTGGGCGAAGGGAAAATGATGGCAGATGTTGAAAAGCCATGCGCATCGCCGACTTGTAAGACGACGATTGGAACGAGTTTATCGACAGGTGTACATTGCTCTATATGTAATCGGGACTATTGTCTCAAACATCGATTGGGGGAAGACCACGATTGTAGAAACCTCGTACCCATTGGGGCAAGAGTTGGCAGATTTAATGAACAACAAACAAGTGCAAAATTGGCCTTTGGAAAACTAAGGGCTTGGGGAGCAGCACAAAAAGCAAAAGTCGCATCAACTCGAGTCCTACCTGAGCCGAAACCTTCATCCGCAGCTGCGAGACTGGTAGCCGTCAACCAGCTCAAAAAGACGGCAAAAGGAGATGCAAAGGTACCTCCGGAGAAGAGAGTGTACATAAATGTGGACGCGGAAGCCGCGACAACGACTTCGAAATTTCCTACTGGTGCTTTCTTTTACTCAAAAGATTGGGTAATGGGTCGAGTTTTGGACGCAGCGGCAAAGGCACTTCAAGTAGAAAACGTTAATAATCAGGGAATGGATGAGAAGGACAAGCTTAGAATCTTTCATGTAGAAGCTGGAAGACTTTTGGAATTCAACGAGAAGGTTGGAGATGCTTTGGTCAGCGGCAATCGTATAGTACTGCTCAGGGGAGTTGGACCTGCTGTGCCTGATCTTATCCAGGCATAGTCTTCTTTTACATATGGGGGTTTCTAAATTCGGAGCACGGGATTTATGCGAGTCATTTGGATGATACCATGATATAACTTACAGGAATTGCATAGGATGCATAGGATGGGAGTTGGGGTATCCTGAGACTTTACATATTGGCGTTCATTAGAACTTTATGGATTATAGCCGTCCATTTTCTAATTACAAACGATTACTTTCCTTCAATATTCTGGACGTCCTACATTCGATGAGCATTTGAATAGTCACAACATGCTAGTGCATGCTATAATAGAGTAAGCTGCGCGTCTTATCAGTATCACATCCTCCAAATCGCGGATAGTGGCCGGATGACTCATTATGATTCTGAGAAGTAATTCAGCATAAATTGTTCCACCTCCCTCTAATCTGTACTTATTTTCCACGTGCTCTTTCCATATTTCCAATTCTAACATTGTCCATAATCCATCATTTATCACCCGTCAAATCCCCACACACTTCCTCGCCCTCCCTCTAAACTCCAACCTCCAACCTCCACCCTCCTCCTCCCCACAAACTCTCCATCCAACTTCCCCCGCGCAACCACCTCCAAAACTGGAATCGCCATCTCTCCGCCACCTCCCAACCGCACCCCTCCACCACCCCCATCCCCATCTTCAAAGACTTCTGCTCCGTGCACAAACAACGCGCCGTCCCGCTCATCCACCACCTCGACAACGACGACGCGCGCTCCGTGCATTTCGTCATCTACGCGCCTTGTTCCCCGCAGAAGAATCCCCAGTCTCCTACATCCCAGTGGGAACACTCCGGCTGCTCCCCTACCCAGATACTCTCCGTCCGCTCCCCCACACCCGCATTATTGTCGGATTGCCGACCGAAGAAATCCCTCCCTCTTCAATATTCTTTTTCCAGCCCTCTCCTACTTATAGAGTTAATCCCGCGTCTACTCTGCACGATGGGGTCGAGCCTTATGTGCGACTGGGTCGATTGGCGGTTTTGAAGGAGTATCGCGGGAGAGGGTATGCAGATCTCTTGATCCAGGCTGCGTTGAAATGGGCGGGGGAGAATCCGAGGTTTTCGGAAGAGGCGTTGAGTGAGGAGGAGAAAGGGACGGTGCCGGAGTGGAAGGGATTAGTGTGTTTGTATGCGAGGGATGTAGCGGTGAGGACGTGGGAACGGAATGGATTTGTGGTGGATGAGGGGATGGTGAAGAGGGTGAGTGTGAGAGTAGAAGGTGAGGAGATGAATTCAAGGGGATGAGTGTCATGCTTTTGTCGTGGGTAGATGTGTGACTCTATTCTCAGCTACATATAGGTACTCAGTAAACAATGTATTCAATAAATTTCTCTACATAAAAATACATGTCCAAAGGTAAGTAGAATGATATCTTCCAGGAACCTTCGAGATGTTAGAGAAGTCATATAGCTTCACTCGACCCACGTTTGGTCTAAAATTATATAGTATACAGTTACCATTCATACCAGAAGATTCCGGTTGAATTCATCATCATCATCTTTCTCTCTCCACTCTAACCTTCCGCTCTGAAGCGTAGCAACATCGCCATGTCGAGCGCAACTCCCCAAGTCCCAAACCGCATTAACGTATCTGCCGCACTTTTAAATAGTGATCTTGACACCCCTTTTACTTTTGGTCTTCCCGGGTCTACGTTCTTTCCCTTGCCAGTTAATCCCTCAATATCTTCTTCGTCCATCAATTCACTCCCCAATATCTCCAGGAATGCGTCATCTGCCGTATTTTTGTGTCCCCTCAGTCTCTTCATCAGACTATCTTTTTGCTTCTTATCTGCAACTTCTGCGAAAGCCCAAAGAATGACATGGGTCATCATCAATAATGAGGCTCCATAAACCCCTGTTTCTACCATATCACTTTTTGTTCCCTTGGGTGCCTCGCTTCCTTTTTCTCGGCCTGTCAGATCCACATTAAGATCTCTATTTGATTCCATGATTGCAGTGGCGGCTCGAACGGCTACATCAATAGCTAATTCTGGATCCTCTTGTGCCCATAATCTCAATCTTTCTAGAGCATGCACAATACTCGTCTGACTCGATTTTCCAATCGCATTTAATAGATCGGTAAAAGGAATATGGAGGAAAAGGCTTGTGATGTGGTGTTGAACAATACAAATATGGTGGAAAATATGAGATGTGGAATAGGGAATAGTCAAATGAGGCCGTAAATAAGTTTTGGAAAAGCGGTTAAGCGTGTCTGGATTTCGATTAGTTTAGTTGTAGGTATGGGGAAATGGGATATATAATACACCAACGTACAGGCTAGTTCTTGTCTCCTCGCAGAAACGCGGGATCTGAGGGCCTGTGAAAGAGATGAAGCAGGATGATGACCGGGTGGACTTTCGTAGATTTCTGGTGATACTTGGCTGTTGATGAATTTGCTAGCAACTAAAGATTCTTGTGAGGCATCGAATATCTGACGTTGAATTTCGAGCAGAACAAGAAATGCGGTATAGGAATTTAGATTCGGCAATGGGAGGTGGTGGGGTTGAAATATAGGTTCCTCTCCTGTCAATAAATGACCCGAGGGGGGTATAGACGAGGATGGAGTGGGAGAGAAAAGAAAAGGCCCTATAGCAGCTGCAAACGATAAAGACTGTGGTACCTTCGCAGAACCAAGCACGAAATTCCAATCGCTGGCAGAAGAGGCACACCAAAAGACTTCATCGCAAGGACAGCTGACATCTACCAATTCACCAATTGTCATTGCTGACGATTGATTCCAAAGCGCGGAGAATTGGCGATCGGTTGCATAGACAACCCAGTAAAGCCTATTGAGAGACTCTTCGTCGATCCATCGTTTCCATCGAACTTCGGGGTCTCTTAATGTTTGATCCACAGGCGAATATCTATTTGGCAAATTCGACTTTTCACTCTCGTATAAACGACGCATATGGGAGACAGCATGCCCTTTGAAAGACTCAGATACGCTGAATGCACGCTTGTTTCCACACCATAATCCCATGTGGATGAGTAAGGCTTCGGTAAAAATAGTCATAGGATTTCGAATTAAGCTCATATCTAGACGAATAGCGGCAAGCAAGTGCCAACCGATAACTTCAATTAAAACGATTGCTAGCCGTCTTCCATTCTTAACCTGACTATAAGTAGATCCAATGATCATCATGGCAGATAATAATGGCGGAGAAAGTTGATTGGTATCCACGGTAGGGCGATGCAGTACAGGTGCTTGATGTGAGAAATGCTTAAAGTAAAGCCCAATGAAGATATTGACCACATATAATGGTGGCATTGTAAAAAGTGGTTTTCTATTAGGACCTTCATGAACGGGAGATATCAAGAAATCTCGCATTTTGTAATATGTCGACTCTGAAATATCGTATCTTGGGTTATGGTTTTGAAATAAAGGATGATTAAATGGCAGATCAATTGGATCAGCTTCCAACATTGCAGTTGGATCCAAGCTAGGATTCCATGAAGCAGGCCATTTTTCTTCACCCCAAGGTAAATTTGGGGGTGAAGAAAAGCTTGCAACACTTGCAGATTGTGTTGGTCCAGGTTGCAATATATCATTTTTAGGTTGATGGTATTCAAAATGAGGCTCGCTAGCTGGTATTGTAGAAGTTGGACCCGAATTGTCCAATTTAATGTTGCTAAAATGTTGCTGCATAGATTCTGAAACAGGAACATTTTGATTGAACAGCTTCCCAGTATGTTCCCATTCGTTCCCAGTTTCAACCATGGTAGCATATAAGTCGTTAGAAACCCACGCATTTCCCATTGGGTTGTTCTCCGGTTGCAAATAGGATGTATGACTGAATGGTATCTGATACGAATATCCCATTATACCAAGAGGATTCGGAGGAAACTGGTGGTCTAATGTTGTGTCTTGGTATGAATCCCGGTATTGCTGCGTGAAAGAATGCGTCTCCTGGGGTAAGAAACCAAGTACTGGCATTGATTGGGGTACATTGTTGCTGATATTTAGTGGCTGGCTTGCCCTAAATGATCTAGGCGCCGCTTCGAGAAACGGTACATTTAGCCCAGTGGGCTCTTGAAAGGAAGTTGAGTAATTTGCCGTTGCTGTTTCCGTCGGAAATGATGGACCACGTTGCATTGGAGATAGATGAGCTGATTCTGATCGACTTGTAGGCGTCCAATTGAAGTTTTCAAGGTTTTCGTGGCTCTCAGGATCTTCAGAAGTCTTCCTCCGTTTCACCGATCCTCTTCGGCCTTCAGACTTTGGTTCCTTTTTGTCCCATCTTTCATGACCGGCTTCATGCCTTTTTAGTAAATCACTCCGAGTGAAAGTCTTTTCACATATTTGACAAATATGAGTCCGAGGAACATCGTCTATGAGGTTATTTTGTTAGCGGTGAATAAGCTTTTTAGTGTCCGAGGTTCATTCTAATCTATGCTCACTTACGGGTTTTCATGTGACGGCTCAAATTCTCGCGCCTATTGAAGGATTTAGGACACTGACTACAACCAAAAGAGGAAGCTGGCATGGGCAGGCTGCTTTTCCGAGGGATTGAAGCTTCAGCATCCATATTTGCTGAGTCGGAAGTGGAATCTGACTGAAAACTTGAGTGGACACCGCGTGTCGAAGGGTGGACATTATCTGACATACTTGAGTAGACGGAAGAATGTTCAACCAACGGCGGCGACCCAGTGTATATTTGAACAAAATAGTATATATCAACGAAATACAACAAGAAGAGGCCTAGACCCTGCTCAGCAGCTTAGGAAGCGTGGCCGCATTGACCAAGATCACAAGTGAAAGCCTACCTATCAGGCCTGTGAACGTTTAAAGTTCAAGCGCACGTCCAATAAACGATTCTCAGCTGTATGAGACAACGGTTGCATGAGAAAATTGAGAGCTTCCCCCAATTATAGATTCGCTACCATATATGAAAGCAAGTTACCCATGCGAGTAGAAAGTGATCTAAACCCTAAGAAACTCTGTTTCTTTGCTTGCCCCTCCTACCCAACAAGGAGTAGCAGTCGATCAGTGATGGCACTGACCTTAAAACCCTCCTACCTGTAAGTCCCTTACCCGGGAGAGACTAATCTGTATGATCCGGAACCTCCGCAACCCTTAAATTAGAACCATAAACCCTTAAGCAAAACTCCGTTCAAACCGTCCAATTTATCTTCAGTGATTGTGAGAAATTTTAAGTTGCTTTTGTCCTAAAGAATGTATTGCTTGCGAGGCTCGCTCCTACCGCTCCTCGCACCAGTAAGTGTCCGGTAAAATTACCACAAAGTGGCTACCTCCAACCTTAAATAGATTACCATGTCTAAATATCCACTTTTCGTCTTGTAACCCTATGTCACCTTGCACTAGTATGTTCTATCTCTTATGATCACATCTCAGCGTAACTACCCTTCAGCCTTGATCCCGCCAGACCGTCATCAGTCGCGGCATGCATTTAGAGCGTGCCGCACGGAGAGATTCCCAATGCGGTTTTCCTTCCCACACACCATCCTTGAATGTATTGTTCGTCTGAGATGTGTCATATTTCCCCGCAAGCCATCAGGTCATCGTCTATCGTGCTTGGTGTGACCCTTCCTTGAAAAGCCGCGGTGACGTTGTGGGCTGTGCAAGAAAGTTGAGTTGAACCCCAAGCATTTTCTAAAGAATTGAAGGCTTGGAAATCGATTTTCTGCGATATAGGGATGCTTCGGAATTAACTAGTGGAAGCCGATCCGAATCTGCTGGTGCTCTATTAGAGTTCACTTTGATTCAAGCTCGCCCTGTTTACATGGCATGGCATTATGCCTGCCATGATCCAAGGATTGGCAGATGCCCAATGATCGGTCAATTCGGGGGGATGCCTCGCCGGCAGATGCCCTCATCCTGCACGACCGGCAGAGGTGCAAGGAGGGTAGAATTGCTCGAGCATGGTTGAGATAAGCAATCTGCAGGTCTGAATCAAATATATTTTTTGCCTTTCAAAGTTTAGAATAAATTGTGAAAGAACTGGTGCTCAATGATTGTACACGAGCCCATTTGTTTTATCTTTAAATGGAATATAAAGCTAGTCGGCATAATATTAGATATGAAGAGTATTATTGGGTTGCTTTCTTCAAAATCAATCCTTGGGTATCGACTTGGCATCAATTACATAGCCCCTGATAGGCGGACCGGGTACACATCTCGGCTACCGTACTTTGTGAGATCTCACGGTAATTAGACTCTGGTCCCTTGCTGATTCTCCATTCAACATCATATCATTCATGTCTGCTCGCCTGAAGAGAATGATCGACCCTTATACGAAATCTTCTTTTCCACCTACTAATAAAGAGACTTTTCGTTCTTACCACTTCTTGATCTGGTCAATGGATCGTGATTCTTGACTTGATGTATGGACAGGTGCACAGCTTGCACATGTGACTGATTTGGATCTGCCCGAAGAAATAGCAAGCCCGGCGATGTGGGACGCAAAGACTGTTCTTATACTGATTTGGTCGAAGAAGAATCATTCTCCTCCACTTGCCAATGGGTTGGCATTTGCATGAGGTTTTACTGCGCTCGATTGATAATCATGGCTTGGGCTCGAAGAATCGCACTCCGCCTCCTCCGATGACGATACGACGATACATATGCGCATCACATACATACACCCTAAAGCCGTTTGTAATGCCGGCGTCTCCACGCATAGTCATGTATTTGCCGTTGCCGGGGTAGAAATTATCAATTGCAAATATCAACAAGGACTCACCGATGCTTCGACTATATATGCCAATTAATCTTCTACCGTAGGAAAGTCAAAAGTAAAATGGTGTGGGAATGGCCAAGTGTATCTTGGCAAAAATCAACTCGAGCTACTTATTTCGCAATAGACCTCAGAGGGAATCTATTAGAGAAAGGTATGAAGAGGTAGAGGCAATGAAGCTGCTCACATTTCCTCAGTTAGGTAGGTGAAAATGCTTGTTGGTCTTGTGATGAGCAGGCTATGTCGAATCTAGAACTTGTAAAAAGTGGCTAGGTAAAACTGCAAGTGAAGTCTGAGTGGGATGATATTCAAGAGAATGTAAAAGACTCATCATCGATATGCTTCAGATTCAAAGTTATTCAAGCAAGCTGCTAGAGTCGCTCCAATCGGATCTCACCCTCTCGTCGTATATGTCAGATTGAGGTTTGTTTGGGGTATACATCTCTCTAGCACGGTATAGTATTAATACATTTGAGACGGTACTCATTGAATTATCCGTTCGGGGAAGAGAATGATGCTTCCGATGTTAGTCTCTCATTTATTTCTATCCTCTCTCTAGTTCTACCTACCAGGAGTGTCAGGAGTGAAAGTGTACCTTTGAGGGGGGGGGTTAGAACCCAACCACGCTAATGGAAATCATCCCCTCCAAGTTTCCCCCTTGGCCAGCTTCTTGCAACCGCTCCAACACCTTCGATCCTCAACCACAATAATTCCGGTGAATTCTACAACACCTGGAATGTTCATTTCCCTTCATTGTATCAACCTTTTCTATCTTGATTCTATAATACAATCATTACTTTGATACATATCGATCTTTGATTGATCAAGCTTCTCATCGGGGTGATTCTGCCTTCTCTGTCATGCCCGAATTCCGTTCATTAGGTGGGCAGTCATACGGATAAGATACTTTGCTTCTTTCGGCTTTCTTCCATTTATTCCACCTCTTTACTTTCCATCTACCTTCTTTTCTCAGGTTCTCGATCTTTAAATCAGATCTCATCTTCTCCACTTATACGATTCGGTGATCCTCATTTGAAGGGAGTGAGGTACTTCCGCCATCAAATCACTCACTATTCAAACTCGCGGCTATCAACTATCCAAGACTTGGTCAGTTTGGTGCTTTGGATTTAACACCAGCATCCCACCGACCGTCGCTTTGATTGAGATATCTCTCTTTATTGGAACCAATCGACAAAGATTTTCACTTTCTGCAAATATTCAGGTTTGTCCGCACAATTTTCCTAATAGCTGTGCCGTACACTGACAACGATGCAAGTCCCTTCCGCATAAGCTACACAAGCCCGGTGTCGTCTCATACAAAGCTAAAATGTCATTCGCATGCTGGACTTGTGATGAAACCTTCAGATCTAAGCGCGAGGTGATTTTGCACTGCGCTATTTATCAACACACCCGAGCATGGGTCTGTGAACATTGCTACAGGCCATTTGGCAGCGAACGTGCTCGCGAACAACATACGGAAGACAAACACGAGTTCTGGTGTGTTCCATGCGAGCAATTATTCGACACCGAAGATGCTCTAGATCTCCACAATGCGACCAAGCACTACTTCCCCTGTGGATTTGGTTGCGATAGAACCTTCACTTCACTCCAGGCTCGGGACCAACATAACAACAATGTACATAGTTACCACTGTTACGACTGTGATCAAGTATTCGGTTCCAAGCAGGCTTTCGACCAGCATGAGGCTGCTAACCACGACTTCAAGTGCGAACCTTGCGAAAGAGAATTTAGATAGGAATCTGCACTAGATCAGCACAATAATTCCTCGGCTCACCCATACCGGTGTTCAAAATGTAGCAAGTCCTTCCCGTACAATAGCGACCTTCATCAGCACATTGCGGCGGAACACAATTGGAAATGCGTTCAGTGCAATCTTACATTTGACGGTCCAAATCATCTCTCTTTGCACGGAAAGTTGGAACATCAAGTGATTCAATGCATCATCTGCCGCGCTAAATTCGATCGTACCGCTGAATTGCATTCACACAAGGCTCAGCAACACTCGTTCCAATGTGAATACTGCACCGCTCCGCCGTTTGAAACTTGGGCTTCCCTCAAGAACCACGAGTCTCGGCACAACTCCAAATGCCCCGCATGTCCAGCTAATTTCAAGCGTGAGGCTGATCAAAGCATTCATTTCAAGAACGTACATGTGCATTCATGTTTAAGATGTGGCGTGTGGTTTGATACTTCATCTCTTCTGGATGATCATCGACTCTCGCACCGTGTTGTATGTTCAGATTGCCAGGGTAGCTTTGACAGTGTTGCCGCATACGAGCTGCACTGCGCAAAGACACATCGAATTTGCTGCCCAAAGTGTCCAATGGTGTTCAGCAATGTCGGCGAGATAATGCAACACGCTTTTGAACATGCTAAACCGATAATTCCAGCAGATTCTGTTCCTCCCAAAGAAGCAGACTCCAAGAAAGCTACAATGGATCACCACAAGCTCAAATATGGTCAGAACACCTGCAAGAGATGTGGTGGCATGTTTCTTAAGCGAATCGACTTGGAAAATTACTTGGCTCATGATCACGGACTTCAGCTAGAGTGTTCAAAGCCAGATTGTCATCACAAAGCCACAACTCCCCTCGGATTTGCACTTCATTATCTCTCGTGTAGTATGGTAAAATGCAAGAAGTGTGAAGGATCTTTTGACAAGGACAAGGATCCCGAACTCAAAGCACACATGGCTGAGTCTCATTCGACAAAATTAATCTTCGGCTGTGTTCAACGTACTAGAACTTTCCAATCGTCGGATGCTGTTGCACAACATTACTCTGCCGAGCATGCATTCATTTGCGCAGCTTGCCCGGGAACCTTTTTCATTAACTCTGCTACTAGGGAGCGACATTTTGCAACTTGCGGTAGTACATCGGAGACATCAGACTCAGGCGAAAGTTTCCAAACATCGCGCACTGGATTCTTGCCACTGATGCAAATGAAGCCTTTGCCAGTTTTGAAAATATGTCCACCTTCAACTCAAGCACAAGTTCAGATCCACGAAGAGCCTTTCTCTCCAGCCCTGCTACTGCCACTGACCCAAAGCACAAGTTCAGATCCACGAAGAGCCTTTCTCTCCAGCCCTGCTACTGCCACTGACCCAAAGCACTCAAGACCTTAAATTCAAGAGGAGAAATGCTGTAGAAAGACTCGCACAAAGAATACTGGATGAAGCAAATACTCAATCCAGACTGATTCGTAGAAGTGGAAAATGCAATGCCCTCTTTCTGCAAGTTGAAGAGGAAGAGGAAGAGGAACTGTGAGTTTCTAGGCTTACAGGAATCATCGTTGTATTTATGACACTGGATTTGTCCTACATTCCCAGATTTATGCGGTATATTGTAAGTTATATGGCATAGGGGTAATACATGAAGCTTTAATGATGATCTTTACCAAATTGGCAATCTTGTATGGAAGGGTAATGCACGAAGTAGCGAATTTTCTATTTTATGGCATCTTTATATTGAGTAATGAAAAATTGATACGAGGGACTGTTTGGCTCTGTAAGCTGTTGTTATCCACAAGTATGGAAGGAAAATGATTTGATCGGATGGGGGTTCTGAAATTCTGGCGTATCCAAGTTTCTAAATCAAGGACAGCTTTTATGCCATACATCTCTCTTTATCGCACTTAATAGTCAGTTTTAATAAAGAGCTAATTCGATCATTTCTTTTCTACATGCTGTGATGTTCCGCTCCCTCGAACTCTCAATTCTTCAACGATACTGCGAAAAGTACAACTTTCTCGCTTTTGACTTCTCATCATTTTGTTTATATCCGTGTTCCTTTTACAATCAGCATTCCTAAGTAGTATGAAGGTATAACTCAAATTTCTCTTCTGTGCTAACCATCCTCCATTTGCTCCCGCAAGTAAGGGAATTCATACGCAGAGTTACATATACCTGCACGATGTTCTTTTCATATCTTATTTAATCACCAAAAAGTCAAATTTTCGCATTAAAGTCGAGTTTGACAAGGATCCGAGAAGTTCATAAGTTGAACCGACGTACAAGATAGCGAAAGAACTCCTAAAAACTTCCTCAAGATCCCATTCTCTTCATCTATGCTATGAATTTCAAGCTCAGCCGATACATTCACCGTGGACCCATCTATTCATTCTCCCAACGTCATTTTTGTATCACATACATCAAGATACAAGATATAAACCATGCTATAAAGCCACGGGTTATTCAGCACAAACTCAAATTTCTCAGATTCTACAAGATTCTCAATAGTGTCCTATCTAAGCTTTCCGAGTATGTGCAGAGGACTTGTTATTGCAGCTCACTGTCAGGATTTCCATTTGAGAGAGTGAGAAAATGTCATAATCAGATAGTGTTATGACTGTGGACATTTTCTTGAAACTTTCCTTGACCATGATGACTCGAAAAGATGAGAAAATATTTTGGCTACTCAGATACTGACTGTTTTGATTGAAAATTGAGATTTGAGAATGACTGGATACCGGGGTTTGATTTGTTTAAGAGGGTCTGCGGGCTTTCTTTTGGCTTTCTTCTTGCTTCTTTCTGTTATGAAAATATTTAAGATTAAGAGAAAAGGCTTCAGAAAGATTTTATACCACAGTAAGAGATGTATCAAGACGATAAGAGTCTATCTGAAGGAAGTTCAAGGGATAGTGTTCCTGAATCTTCGAAATCTATGGCAGAACTCCCCAATTCCAAACATGGAGTTAAGAACTTCTCAAGAACAAATACTTCCGATACAGCTCATTCTCCTGCGAAACCCGATCGCATATCCAAACACGTAACTTTTCTTGACACATCCATCAACCACATCATTCCTAGCACTCACGATCAAACCTCCCAGTTCCTCCCAAACGATCTTCAGGAATCCTCAACGAATCATCCCTCCAGAACTTCAGAGACATACAACAACCCAAACGACTCAGAAGACTCACTCGAAGAAATTCCCCCTCATCTCACCATCTATACCAGCTACGCAAGTACCGGAAAACTATTTATTAAAAGCACAATGGACTGGACCGGTCTCGCCAAAGCCCACCAAACCCCCGAAATCGAAACCATCATTACATTTCTCAATCATCACGAACACTATCTCCATCTGCATCCCGATGAACTTCTCCCATTCCTCCACACCAACAACGAATCATCTCAATCCGAGCGCGACACCTTCCAAACATTCTTCAACGCGCTTGAAAAATCATTCCCGCAATACGGTTTCGAAACTCTCCAGAGAGCAATCGATATCATCGCACTGGAGCAAGGGAGAACTGCCACAAATGGCGCTCCGTCATTCATATTGCTCTATGCGCTTCTAGCGCAAATCTGGCACGCGGGCGCGACGCTGAGAGATACATGGATGAAATTCCAGAATGTGGGTTTCGCGATGAGTTTTGGGAATTTCTCACTCTTGATGCGAGAAGCTGAGGTTTTTAAGCTGGGAGATGAGTCTGAGATGAATATTCTGCTTCTGACGGAGTCTTTTTGTAAGATTGCAGAGAGGGAGATACAGATGCATGAAGAATGCGACGAGGAAGGTTCCACGCAGCTGACGGAAATATTCTGTACGGTACTCCCGCATATATATTTCAGCGCGTGCGGATGGAATCACGCGCTGGAGATGTTTAATGCGCATCTGGGTGTGAAACTCAGTTTGCGCAGGTTTAAAAAATACATCGTGCCGGTGGTGGCGGGGAGGATGAGAGCGCATGATGAGAGGCATACGGCAAGGATTAGGAGAGTGTTGAAAAAGGAAGCGGTGAGGACGGGGGTGGAGATTACGCCGGGAACGTTTGGTGGTGTGTTTAATGGGATGACGGGGTTTGCGCTTGAGGAGGTGGTTTTGAGGGATGTGCAGAATTATTTGTTGGGGGCGTGGAGGGTGTGAGGGGTGGGATGGGGGTGTTGGGGGGGGTTTATTTGAGAGAGGGAAGAGTGCGTGGTTCGGCTTGAAGAAAGGGGGAATGAAAAGGGAGATGGAAAGTTAATCACATCATCGTTGATATTCACTAGATACTAATCCTCAAGATCAATATTTACAATCACACATCTCTCATATCTCCCCATAATGTCAGAACATCAGCCACCCATCAACTACTTGCTTCCCTATCTCTAATAAGTCCCTTAAAAGAATTCTTAAAGTTTTGTTAGTTGATCTAGAATCCTCAGTATAAACATTCACATGTTTGTATTTGTTTGGCAGCTCGAACTTCTATCGTACATAGCAAAGTCCAAACTCGGCATGGGAAAAAGGGTGAAATAGAATTGTAAATACTTTCAAAGACCTATATCTATTCACTTCTCATCATCATTTTTTACCCTCGGGCTTATAGAATCAAAAATTTACGAACTTACAATTCAAGAAATAAACTCGCAACCTCACTTCACATCTCCACTCAACTGCACTTCATTACATGCATAATACATCTACCACAAACTCCCCAACTCGCCATCCCAAAAATTCCCAAACTTCCCAAACTTCAAACTCCATTCATCCATTCATTCCTTCATCCATTCCTTCCTCCCTAAAACCAACCACCTAATGATACAATATAACAACAAAGCAATCTTCCAAAACAAAACCTCACCACCACCTCCTCCATCTCCTCCATCTGCTCCACCAATCGCATAAACTCGGAACTCCCTATCGACGAATTTCACAAAGATATACTTACCTGGTCTCATCATATAAATAAAACAAAACGGCACACACACACATAAATTCCCCCACAGTATGAAAAGCAAGAACAAAACCTCTACTCAAAGATATTCTTGAGTTTTTAAATTTTCAAAAAGAACAGAAAAGAAAAGGCTCAACAAAAACCAAAAAACCAAAAAAAAGGGGGGGGGGGATTCAAAAATGATACATATCCCTTCCATTTAATGAGCTCGGTTATTCATTTCATTAGATACCTAGTAGTTACTCTCTCACCTCGCTCACCATCACAAGTGTTACTAGTACGCTTGAACTGATTTAGCATTTGGGTATATATCGATCGATCTGTTGCGCGTGTATATACTATCTATCTTGGTATTCCAAAGAAAAGATGACAAATCTCTCTCTCTCTTTCTCCAAGTATCCAAGTATCCAACTATAGATCTTATCTACCCACTCCTCTTATCATCGTCTGAGCAGCAAATCATTGGTATCTCGCGCAACAACAACAACAACAACGTCTTCAGCTTCTACGCCTCTCCAAACACTCACTCTCCCTACATACTATCCTCCAACCTCTTACTCCTAACCTTTTGCCAACCCTCCTTCTCCTTCTTCCCCCCATCTTTCTCTAACCCCATACCCCTTTCAACCCATTGCTGACTCCCCATCTCACTCAATCGACTCAGCGCTCTCGCAAAAGCGAATCTTTCTTCATCACCACTAAACATGCTAGTATTCTTCAACATATTCATATTCATACCCAAATCATCCATCATCATTCTCATTGCATCATTCAGTTCTTCTCCTTCATTAACTTCTTTTTGTCCTTTCTTATCCTCCACTTCCTTCTTCATGCTCTCTTGAATTTCTTCTTTCGACAGAAATAATTGTGTCAATGGCACTGCAGTCGTCAAGACCAGCTTGGCACGAGATTCATAGACGGCATCGATGAATGTGATAAAACGACGAGCGAGATCACGTTGTTGATGTGTCATTCCGGGAACATCCGTAACAATAAATGCGTCGTAGCTTCTCATAAGCTCAATGTAATCAGCTGCGCTAGTAGGTTTTCCGATCAACTCATCAAATGTGAACATAGCAGCCTTACCACTAACTTTCGGAACGTGAATTGCGCGACCCCAGACATGTTGGGTTTCTGAATGAGGAGTAGATTGTTCAGGATCACCAAGGAAACGGAACCATTTTTCCGCGTGAGTAGGCGCGTGAGCGTCTAGAGGACAATGATAGACGCCGGAAGGAGGACGAGGAATTTTTCGGTAATCTGTGGGACTGTCGAGGTTGATTACGTGGAGACGGGACTTGAGGAGATTGATACAAGGAATGAATGATTCTCTTTGAATACCGTTACGGTAGAGGTCATCTGGATGACGATTGGAGGTTGTGACAAGAACGACGCCATGGGACATCAAAGATTCCAAAAGTCTATGAAAGATGAGCATAAGAAAAAAAAGTCATGTTGAAGAAAAAAGGGGACAATACCTTCTCAAGATCATAGCATCCGCCACATCTGTGCATTGAAATTCATCAAAACACAGCACGTTTCCCTTTTCCGCAATATCCGCTGCCACAAAAGGTACAGCATCAATATCATTTCCGTACTGCATTTTCATTTTGTGTAACCTCTTATGAACATCCTGCATAAAATTATGGAAATGGATCCTCGTTTTTGATGCTACACTACTTGGCAGTGTCTCATAAAACATGTCCATCAACATAGTCTTTCCACTTCCTACATCTCCATATAAATAAAGTCCTCGAGGAAGGTTCTCTGGTATTTCCTTCAACGCCAATTTCTTGGGTTTGTTTCCAAATATACGTCCAAACATGGCAGTTGGTGGAGGTTGAAGGGATTCGAGGGTTGGGTGAATAATCGCGGGCGCATTGTAATATCGCAACTCATCGTGGAGATGTTGAAGATTCTGTATAATGCCTAGAAGCATAATTCGTCAGACTTCATTACGGGGTGTGAATGTGCATATATGTTGCTGACCTCTCTGGTGTTCATCGTCCCTCAATTGTCCCGATGCAACGCGCGCATTATATTCCTTCATAGGTCCTAGGTCGTCCGGATTTTCTGCAGCGATCTTAGCAAACGTTTTCTGTTGACGAGAACGATTGTGTACCATTTTGAACAGTTGCCAAAGACCTTCGCTGCCCTGCGATGAAAGATGCGGGAAAGGCCAGTAAATGTCTTGGTGTTAATGAAGCAGCATCTAAGCTTAATGCTGATTTCCTTGATCCCAATGCGATCGCCGAGATATATCTTCTTCCATTTTCTCTGCTGAAGTCACCGCGATTTATACATATCCAATTCCTTGAACCTTCACATGTACGTCTAGAATTCGCGGATAAGAGTCGGAAGGATCGCGCCGATGTAGTTCGTAGTTTCATAATGACTGTGAATTGCAAGATGCGCCGCTTATCAAAAAAAATTGTATGCGCATGCTATAGTAAAAGAAAGGGCAAAAGAAACTATATCTCTGGGTTTCTGGTAGATTTATAAATTCTTGATTGTACTCTTAAATCCTCTCCAAATATATGTTCGCGGAATTAGTGCGGGATCTGAATAATTTATAGTGGGGGTTCCATCGGAAGGGATACCTCGGATATGTGACCAGAGGCTGAAACTCGTAAACTTGACTCGAGAATAGATAAATCCGTAGATACGCTCACACGCTCACACGCTCGAGAGTTGAGACAGCGCACGCCCCGACTAGGCTTGGAGTAATTGATATCACTACAAACAGTACTGCTATACTGGCATTACTATTGGCCCTATTAACATAATACACTTGTCGGAACTCACTCAGAGTGGAAAATTTATTGTTAATGTCAATGATAATACTGTTTGAACATGATAAATCTATGGAGTGAATCGGAATATCAAATAGCTTCAACAAATTAAATATAATGATCAGATCTATCATCTACTGATCTAATAGCTATGCAGAACTGAGTAATGTAGAAAGACGAAAAATGAGCCCACAATGTGGCACTGATAGCCGGAGCAGAAAGGAGTATTAGCATAGGTCTGCCAAGGTAGAATATCAAACCTCCGCAATCAGATCATTCCCCACAATGGACGGGGGAGGTCTGATTGAAGACGAGAAACCTGTCCACCTGTACCCATTTCCTTTATACCGACATAGGCCTCACGACGAGCGGGATCGCCAACTGTGATAGATCGAGAAGTGAGACCATAGTAAGATGCAATAGAATGGACAAGCCAGCGTCTATAAGAATGTTAGGATGAACTCTCAAACGATCAGGAATATAACATACCCGAAGCTTGCCCCTGTATCGTCAGCTAATGAATCGAAGACCAGTTTTTCTCTTTGTAACTCTTCTTCTACTAGATTCCGTTGTTCATCACTCATTGTGCCATTTCTTCCAATGAACACAATCTCTTCATCCTCACTATCCATTTCATCTTCCTTCATCTGTCCTAGGATTCTCTGCTTTCCTTCGTATTCTTGCACGAACTTTCTCACCTCCTCCTCCAAGTCTTGCAAAAGACTCTTAGCTCCCTTGCTCTTCTTGAGCTTCTGCCTCAAATCTTGCGGGACACGACCTCTCTCCTCACAGCTGCCAGATTTTCTTGCTTTGTCCAATTTCTTCTCGGCAGCAATTTCCTCAGCTCGATGACGAACACCCGCATCCCACAAAGGAGCCAAGTAATACGGTACGTGATGAACGGGGTAGGTCGGGCGAACTTCCCAGTCACTTGGAAGTGGTGGTTGAGCATTTGGAACATGGAGAAGATGATCTGCGAATGCAATTCAAATCAGTAATCAATGTCATTCGCACTCGGTCTTCCCAAATTCCCGAGTATCGCGTGTTGTGACAAGGCATGCTGTGATGGTTGAGACCGAAATGCCAAGTGAGTGGCAACTTCAATTTCACATCACCATTCATCAATAGCACTCACCGTTCTCCCATCTTTGGCGTCTACGACTGCCCTCCTTTCCCCTCAGCAATGTCTCTCTGTGTTTTTGGCTATCGCGTTTCAAAAGTTCTTTGCGAGGTTTGTAGGCAACGGGCCTCGAGGGTGTCGCGTCTTTGGGAAGCTCATCCTGTTCAAGAGGAATGGAGAGTGTAACTCCAGTACCGCGAGCAGTGGGAGAAACATTGAGTGACTCTAAAGCAGACACCGTCCAGGCTTCGATATCTGGACCTGCTAAACCGGAAGCCTGTTGTGCGGGTGGCGGGACTGATGAATAGATTGCCATTTTGATTCAAGTTAAGGAATTGAGCAAAGTGATATTTAAATCTGTCTGATTGAAAGTTGGAGAGGATATTGTAAAGATGAAGTTCTGAAGATGACAGGTATCCGGATGAACGAGCTCTTAATAAGAAGAGGAACTGTCTATCTACCTGCTAAGTATACACGCAGCAAGAGAGATATACCTACTGGTTGATTGATCGGATAGGAGTCATATGGATACCTATCTACCAGACTAGTAGGGAAGTGACGGCTGACGTCCGATAAGGCACGGCCGCACAGGGTAATCCACTTCGAACCAATCATGCATGAATCAATTGAATCGTGCCATCATCGAACGGCGGTGGGTGAAAGATTAGGAATTGGTCGATTTGGAAGTACTTAGTAGTGATAATAGGAGTATTGTGTTTCAAGAACTTCAATCGTCGAAGTGATCGCCTGGTTTCTTGAATCCATTTCTGAATAATTAGGTAATTGAATTGAAGCCACCTGCACCTCTGACCCTGATACATTTCTTGCATAATCTCAATGCATAACACATGTTAAGCTTACAGCCACCAGATATTCAATCCAGATTCCTGATAGATGCTTTCACCCAATATAGTGCTTTCAAATTCTCTTGTAAATACAAATAATCCAATATTATCATCTCTCATGACGTGTGAAGCAACCCATTATACTATACAAAGCCACTCATAGCTTTGCAAATGCAAGCTCAAAAACCAAACCAAGTGTCAAACGAGCATGCTGAAGCATGTGGTCGAAGTTCAGGTACTTGATGGTGTCATCCGAAGTATGGATATGGTTATCAGAATACTTGAAGTCGCTCTCAATGACGAAAGCAGAGGCGTACCCAGCCTTTGAAGCGCTAGCATGGTCAGAGCATGCATAGCCACACTTTGTTTCGACATATGGAATATCACAATACTAAAATCGTATAAGCAAAGAAACAAGAAACTATGACTCCCAATGCTTATTGCAAGTAACTTACCTCGGTCACAATCTTTTTGATAAAATCTGTCAAATCAGGGTCGACAAAATCGGTGATCACACCAACACTCTCTGGCTCTCCAGCATCCAAAGTCTTTTGAGTGTATCCTGTCATATCCTGTTGAAGCATTGCCTTGATATCTCGACCCGTCTTCTCATATTCGGAGAAAATGGCTTGACTGCCTAGTAAACCACCTTCTTCAGCCGAGTACCTGATTAAATGTTAGAATCGTGCATGTAAATTCAAAGCCACTGATCGATTAGTTTGGTATAGTAAGAAGAGGGTCAGCTACCAGTGAAATTCAACCGTGTTCTCTGCCTTTCCTTCAATGACATCCTTAGATGTAAGCAATACACGAAGGGTTTCGAGAATAGTCACAGTTCCACTTCCATCATCATCAGCTCCGGGGGCAGATAGAATAGAAGGTAAGAAGAGGTTGATAGAGTCCTGGTGTGCGCCTACAACAACCGTCGAGTTCTTCTGTCCAGGAATTGTAGCAATGATACTATTTTGTCCCCAAGAATGTTTGAAATGACGAGCGTTAGCTCCGTATTTATCGGCTCCAGCATCCTTGATTAACCCTTGAACTTGCTCGAGGAGCCATTCTGAGGATTGACGACCATAGTCGGACTTGTAATATCTGGTGTGAAAACTAGTGAAGGTCTTCAGGTTCTCGTGCATGTTAGACTTGTTCAGGTCTTTAAGTAGCGGTTTGAGATCTTTCTGAAGGGTTGGCTTTGATGGAAACTTCGCTTTGGCCGATGAAGCCTTGAAGGTACCAAGTTCTGGAGTTTCCGTAATGTCCATAAAGTTCTGTCCATTCTTCGCGATATTAGCTAAAGCTTCTCTGGGTTGCACAGTATACATACTCTTCTTAATTCCCATTTCTCTTCTTCTGTAACCCATTCTTGTTTGCCAGGGGCGATCTCGATCAGATAACGCTCATTATTCACGTCATAAGAGTTTAGGATAACTTGATCCTTTTCGTGTTGTTCAACGAATCTTGCAGATGCAAGAGATGCCGATAGAGCTAGGAGTGACAACTTTGTGAGCTTCATGATGGATGTTCGGAATGTTTGATGTTATGTTGTATTAATTCGGTGTACGAGATATGATATGGTGATAAGAGCTTTGGTACCTGAATGGATGGAGTTGATGATAGGGAACCTTAGACAAACCAAGGATTAAGGATTAATTAAGGATTGGCTTCCTTAGATTCTGAATAAAACAATGTGGCTGGTGTCACGCTTTTGGGCTGATTACATTTCTGAACTTCATAACCAACCTTGGAATTGCTTTAAACTTTTTACTTTTTATGAATAGACCTCAATTGATTTCTAATGTGGTGATCTGGAGTTTATTGAAGATCGATTTTGGAAAGTGTATTTCGATGTTCAATGGTATTGAATATACGAAATCACTCATATCGGGTAGGCAAGACAAATAAGCAACATTCGTAAGATCGCATGGTGAAGCATGCGACTCACATGGCATGGCGCAAACAATTTGCTTGTCCAAAAGGTACTTTGTACATGTAGAAAATAGCTAGCTAGTATGGATAGTTATACTTGGATGTTAAAAGTCCCGTAATTATGTCACAAGAGGCACTTGCTTATGAAAGCCTACTACCTAGGTACCTACTACATACATACATGTTGGAAGGTTTGCTCCGGGATAACAAGTCAATCGATGATCTCTCTTCCCCTTTACCAACACCTACTTGTATCCGAGATTGGCTCCGAAGCTAATCAGGTTGGCCATCGCTACTAAATCTATACATCAAATCGCTCGAAAAGATTCATATTTCATACCCATCCATACTTCGGTCAGTTTAGTCGGTTAGTCAACCAGGGCGAATGTATACATGTCTAATCCCGTCTAGAGTATTGATAGAATGGATAGTATGTCTTTGATCTTTTGGTTGATGATTGTCAGACAGCCCAACTGCTACATTTATTATCCTTGAGTACAGCTCCGAAGGCTGACCCGTGAATGGTCAAGTTTTCAATGGTATTATGCAACGGGAATTCCACAATTGCATATCTAGTACTCAGTAACACACGGAGTATCTTCCATGTGCATGTACGAGTACTGGTACAGTAGACACCTTGTCAGTAGTATCCTTCCGCGTATTTGCTTTTTCTCAATTGGCCACCGCGTCTCGCTCTGCGCAGTATTGTATCACATTGCCAGTGAAAATCATGGACATTCGACCACTCCAGTCTCCTTCGTAGACCAATCCTCGTGTGCGGACGATAATCCAAGTTTCGAGTTGAACGAATGAGAGGATCGCTTGGGGTTGTTTGGTGGGTGTGAGTGCGTAAGTGCGTAAGTGCGTAAGTGCGGGGTAAATCATAGATCGTATGCATTTTTAGTGTTGGTGCTACGCGTAGTAAGTAGATAGATAGTACCTAGTTTCAAGGGTCCCCGTCTTCCCCGTGCGTCATGCTTGCTTTGCTACTCGAGTAGAAGCTTGATTTCCCATTCCTCAAGTTCATATAGGTAGGTGGCTAGGTAGGCAAGCTACTACTCTAGCTCCCTTCCCTTCCCTTCAAAAAATTAAAGTCAAACTGAATTTTATTTTTCTGCTGAACTTGTGAATGATGCTACAGCTCCATTGACGAGACTACTCTTACCCTTCTTCGTAATACCAACGCGTGATACTTCAGAGTCCGAAGCTACCCAGATACCCCATCTTGCTTTGCTTTGCCCATCACTCATACTTGGTACGCACGATCTTGTTTGTCCCTTCCCTTCTTTTCAACTGCAATTACTAAATAGATTTTCCATCAACCAGCCTCCATCTAAATCAAGATCACCTACTTTCTTGACAAAGTCAACGAATCTCAACGAACTCATATCCATACATCCTACGTGATTCTCTCGATTCTCGCAGACCCAGCCTACACCGTTTCACGATGAGTCCTTCATTTGCGCAAGGTACTTTTTCTTCCAAAATCCATTTCATCATATCTGTAGACTAACGGTACGGGACACAGCGAATCCATTCGCGCGACGAGATACCCATCCACTTCAAGCAATCTGGACATATAAGATATGTACAATTATATCCTGGTTGTTGGTGGTAGTAGCCACCTTCTACTACAACTTCCACGCACCTCAAGATGACAAGCACAGCTGGCGTCATACCATTTGGGAGCAGAATAAGATACACCACACACCATTTGCTATGAACGCTTTCATTGCTTCATTTTATTGGTACGATTTTATCCTACAGAATCCGAGAACTTACATTATTAACACAATCTTAGGTTATTCCTCTTCATTCTTCAAGTTGGATATGTCCTTCACCTCTTCAGCGACGAGGTTGAACATGTCAACGCCGCGGCATCGGTCGGAAGTCACTTCATTCTCAACAATCTCTTGCAATTTGCATTCGTCATGCTGTTCGTTCGATCTCACTTCGTATGGGCTGAGATTATATTGATCATTAATTTCTTCAACCTTTCCTCGCTCTACTTCCGTCATAACACCACCCCAAGATTCATTCACATGCCTGCCACCTCTGGTCCACTTGCCTGGACATTTGTAGCTTTATATTGGAACGGAGCTATTGCCGTTGGAGCTCACAACCTTCCTGCACGTATCATAGCAAATGTTGCAATTTGGGGTATCTTAGTATATGGACTCTTCTTTCTTGCTGCTTACAAGGTGCGTTTGAATGATTAAAAACTCCCAGTGTGAACCACAAAGTTCCTAGAAATACTGAATAGATATTAGGATTACACCATGGGATTTGCCCTTAGTATCATCACGGCAGCCATCGGAGTTGGCCAATTCTTCACAAAAGTATTCGCCCTTCAGTGGATCTTTGCTTTTACCATAATGGGTACTCTCTTCCTTGCTACGTTGATAGTCGCCGTTCCTGGAATTTTTGGCAAGGAGATTTCATTCAGGAGAGAAACTCCACTCGCTTCTGAAGATCAAGAGAGAGCCCCTCTTTTGGACGATCACTAAATTGATAGAATTGACTGGGCGCTTGTGGTTTCAATCATTACCTGCCTATAACTTGTTCATGGATATCTTAATATCGCGAGGGTGAGTCACAATCTGGAAACCAAACTTGGCGTAGGAAGGCTTCAAAATAGTACGGGAAGTTTGTGGTATCATGTCATGGGAACCCGATGGGTTAATAGGTGTTACGCATGGATTTAGGGGTTGTTCTGCCATTATCATTTCTTCTTTTGGTTGTTTGACAGATAATGCGAAATCTATCACACTTCTAGGTTCAGGGCTATCAGACAAATTGAATCTGTGTATGCATCAAAACTAATTCTTTCTTGATTTTGATTTTTGCAACTGAATTTGTCTTGATGACCTCATGCCATCTGACATAATTAAGTGACCAGCTTGCAGGCTAGAAGTTGAAGCTCTTTATTGATCAGAGTCTGTCAATCTTTGACACCTCTAGTGCACAGGTAATTATAGTAATGACTGCTATTCTCAATGAATTGATCAATACATTCAAACCCCAGCAAAGTAGCAAGAAGTCTATACACTCTCACAAGTTGGAAGGCGATGAAAGTTATTAATGGACGCGGAAATTCGTCTCGTCAGGTGTTTTCGCGTAGTGGGGCCGAGCTTTTATATCGGATAAGAAACTTTGGGGAGAAAAAACCTTCGATAACACAATTCGATAGATACAATTCCCCTCATGTCGTTGCAAATGAAGACCGACATGTGTAGCGCCACTATGAGACAAATCTACCATACAGCACCTATATGACCAACTTTTACTCAATATGCCACGAGCATTCCCATTTCCTGTTAATATTGGAACCGACATCTGCAGGATCAGTCGCATTCAGGATATCCTGACGAAGCATCAATCCAAATATGCACATCGATTTATCAGAAGGATATTCACTCCACAGGAGCAAGTATGGTATCGACCGAGATTATTGCCATTGATTGAATACCTATATTTTATGGAACGAAGGGAGTTCATACAAGGGAAAATAGAAAAGCAAGAAAGATGGAAGGCGAAAAGCTTGGAGGCGTTGATAGGACTCGTTACGCCGAAAGAGACGCCTCTGCTGAACAGTACTGCTGCGAATGATAAGCCTGTCGGTTCTTTGATATGGCCTACCTACGGCGCCCAAGAAGATCTGAAGAAATTAACAAAAGAGGAAGAAGAATCAATTTTACTTCAATTGAAAGAAAATGTGCAAGGTGTTGCGAGATTTGTGGCTGGCCGGTGAGTTTATTGAAGTCAAGGTTCACGCATTAGGCTATAACTAACTCCACATTGTCCAGTTTTGCGGCGAAAGAAGCAGCGAAGAAAGCATTCAGCAAGAGGAAACTGAATTTCCACGACATTACAATTGACAGCCCATCTCTGGATAACCTCAGGTCTAGAGCACCGGTCACACTCATTAGATCAGCAGCAGGACAGGATGACCAGATAGTACCGATGAGCATAAGTCATGATGGAGATTATGCGACTGCTGTGTGTATGTCTTGTGAGGATGTTGCTCCTCCGCCTACGCCGGATCTTCAACAGATAGAACCTATGTTAGCCCGCCTTCTCGATGAAATAACGATTAAAAGATTGGAGCTGCCGTCGGTGTCATCCAGATCTTCAGACAAGGACAAACGAACACCCGATTCAAACTTGAAAGATTCTACCTCAGAAAAATCTTCAGATAGACTTTCGACTCCACTCCAGAAGATACCAGTAAAATTGGCAAGTCCAATTACCGGAAGGTTATCAGAAATTTTGAATTCTACTCCGGGCGGTGGATCAAAGGTCTCGGCTCCTGAAGTCAAGGAAGATCTGAACGATTCCGAAGTCTCGGAACTTGTTCAACCTGAGGCATCTTCATCTTCTATGAACGACTCGGCGATTGAAAGTATTTCGGATGTTTCAAAAATTCCAATTCATGATTCGTCAGAAGTCTCTTTACCCGCACCTAATGATCCAACAATCAGGTATCATTTGAGTGCTACCAGTGCCATCAATTCCATAAATGTCGATCTTCAGAACAAATTCTTCAACCGTAACTCTCCTGATTCACAAGCCAGAGGATTTAATTACAGGAGCATCCAAGTGAGTGGCTACCAACCGATCGAAGACACTCAGAATGGTACAGAATTTGCACAGAAACCCGATAATACTCCCTTTCCTCAACCACAAAGTCGTTCATTTCCGTGGACTGGAGGGTCAGACCATCAACCGACCGAATACCCTCAACGTGATAGAGGTTTTTCGCAACCATTTGATGGTGCTCTTGTTCATCGCTCTGATGTTTGGACATGCAAAGCTGAAGGATGTGGTTGTCAGAACAGTATCTATGATCGCCAGTGTGTGAATTGCGGTACTCAGCGTCTTGAAGGTTGGGCCAATTGGATAGATCTAGACAGTAAATATAATGAAAGGTTGGCAGAATTCTCAAATCATGTTGGGCTCCCATATAAGATCGATCCAGCTCAAGAGGAAGAGAAGAAGATGAGGATAGCAAATCGACAAGCGAGACTACACGAACGATCGCAAAGTATTTATGGATTACCAACATACTTAGATCCCAAGGTGATCAAGAAGAATGTCGAGAACAGTCTTGAGGTTTTAGGAATTCCCCTCGGCACAACGAATGAAGAGTTGATCGAAGCTTTCAAAGGAAGATGTACAGCCATAAAGGGATATGTCAAGCAATCGAAACGGGGCACTATGTTTGGTTCAATCATCTTGTCACGAGGAACCGAAGCAAATAAACTACGACACATGGATAGGAGACCTAACGAACTCCCCGAGATCAGGGGCCACAAGTTAAGAATGGTCAAGATGGATGATTGGCTCAGAGCATTCCTAAGGGAGTATGGATCAGGCGCTCGGATTTGGGATTGGAGGGCGGATTTCTGGACCACGGATGTTTTCCATCGGTATGATAAGAAGGAGTGTGAGGAACATGCTAAAGAGCAGTTTGAGGTGTGGAAAGAGATTCAGCGAAAGGGACAGGGGCAACGGGAAGCGGATGAACAGAAGATGCGGAAGAAATTGGCGAAATTAGAAAAGGGTTTGGAGGAGAAGGGAACGAGAAAGTTGGCAAAATTGGTGGATGATCTGAAGCAGAAGTTGGACAAGACGGAGAGGGAAAGGTTGAGTAGGAATTTGGCGGTGCTGGGAGGAGAGAAGGAGTAGATTGGATTGGATTGGATGTTGAGAGGGAGGGAGGGGATAGGCCTCTAGATGATGTTTAGAATTGTAGATGAGAGATTCTGGATACTTTTTCTTGTTTGTTTTGTATGAATATATTATATGCTATGATAAGAGCTTTTGTACATAACGTTTATATTATATATAATATATACACACAATTTTCTTCGCTCACTTTATTTCACATCACTTATCCAGTTTATCAAAGTGAATATACAGCAGCTGACCTGCCTGGTCTCATCAGCAGAACTACCTATCTACCTACCTAATTCCGATCAACTAATCCCTATATCATCTAAATGTAAGTACCTATTCGGTCAAAATCTCGATAAATGGAGGGAGCAAGGCTGCATTAAGATTGAACTTTCTCTGTAGATCGAATTGAGATACTTTGGAAGATTGGCCTATAACCTGGCTTGTTTTGTTTGTTTGGCTTGCTTTGTTTGGTTTGTGTTTTGTGTTTTGTATTTTGGAGAAAGATCTTGTGTAATTGTGTGGTTGGATAGTTGGATGGTTGTATAAGGAAAAAGGATGTGTTGGAGAGGTTTTCTTGGGGTTTTAGAGAGGTATCTGTAATATGTATAGATATATGGATACATAGGTATTATTTTTGATAGGTGAATGAATGCAAATATAGATAGACGGCCAACAAGTAATCAAATATTTAGGTAGTGAGTAGGTGGCCCTGCTTCTTTGTAGATAGATAGAATTGGGATTGAAATCGGGATGGCGAGATCTGGGATTTCTTTTCTCTCTCTTTCTCTCTTTCTCTCTCAAACTACCATGTTTTGAAAGATTCGGGAGGAGAAATGGTCTAGCTACCGAGTTTGATATGTGATAGGGGGTTTATCTATTCAGATACATTTATTTATCCTGATACACGAACTCCCTGCGACCGGGACGGGGGAAGAGTCTGGATTTGGGGATTCAGGAGCTGAATATTGAAAGGTGAAGATGGATGAAAAAGAGAGGAAGAGAGAAATGCCCTTGGGAAGAAATGATACGTAGTAAACAACTCGCATGAGAACTCAGAAGCGAGGATTTGATTAGGCGAAGCTTAGGTACGTAGGTAGATATTTTAAGACTCTAGGTTCCGAGGTAGAAGACTAATACATTATAGCTAGTCACCGTTTATAAGTATTCTATTATCTATCTATATTTGCCATCTAGACCTTGGATTTTTCCATTTCAATCTCTGTAAGATCATTGAAGCATGGGAGTCGAATAAGGATGAGAGTGTTTACTACTCCGTATTCTATGAGTGGAGATGAGTTCTTGATTCGAATTCTTGATTTTCACTTAGTGGTTTGATGGGTGAAACATAAGTTATTGCATAGTTGAAATCCATCGAATCCTCTGATTAGATCTGAAAATCAAGAACTTTTGCTTTCAGGACTGCAGTCTACATATGGTATCTGAGACCTATTTTCAAAATCACTATCTATCATACCATTATCCCCTCCTCACACCCTCTCACCCTCTCACTCTCACAACCTCTCACACCTCACACCTCACACCTCACACCTCACACCTCACACCTCACACCTCACACCTCACACCTCACACCTCACAACATCACCACCCCTCAGACCCCAAAAAACTTCCCCGTACTAACATTACATCTACTCCACCATTTTCGCTCCCACAAACTCGCCCAGAAACATCCTGGCAAAAACACCACATACAAACACCACGCTGGCCAAGGATCCCAAATCTCATACGTGCCATCTTTCCACAGTAATACATGTTTACCGAATTCCCACCATTCTTTTACTAAATTCGTGATTCCTTTTTGGAAGCTGAATAAGTGGTATATTGGGAGAAGTATTTTCGTGACAAAATCATGGCCGATCCAATAATAACCCCCATTGACGGCTTGGGGAAGGGGAGTTATTGGATCTCCGTTCTTGTGGAGTGTGGTTAAAGATGTATCCCCATTTCCATTTGTGCTATTGTCGGTCAATAATGATAAATAAGCCTCTGCCATTTCTTCCACGGAGTCATTGAGGAGAACCACGGCTGTGTGGGCGCGGGGATTACATTCAATAGGAAAGAGTTCTTTATGCAATTTCTCTATTTCCTTAGATGAAGGATGGAGAGAACCCTCTGCGTTCTGAGCGATTTCCTCATCGATGAGAAAATCGAGAGAGAAGTGTCCGGTAATTGGGGAGTTGGGAGTTCTTTCTGCAGCGCGCTGAATATAGAGGGTAGTGTAGTGAAACATGGCTTGTGCGAGAGCTGATGAAGGCGGAAGAGCTTGGTAGTGCATTAACATATCTGAAGAGCGACATGAGACGAACGCGTGGATTTTGCCTTTGAGAATAATACTATGTGTGCAGTATTCTCTCCCTTTGATGTATTGTTGAAGAACAAATGGTCTTTTGAGTGACGGTTTCAGTTTTTGGATATGTTTATCTGTTTGTGTGCGTGACGGAGATGGAAGTAGAGTCATATCGGCTCTCACACTATCATCGACCATTTCCGGTTTCATGATGAACTGTTTATCCACCGATTCCCCATTCTCCGGATGCAAAATTTCCGAAGCCTCTTCACACAAATGAATCTTATACGTAAGCGGTGCGTTCAAGCCCAACTCCATCGTATATTTAATAAATGAGAATTTCTCATGCAGCGTCTCCGTCAATCCCACCCCAAACTGCACTGCCGCACATTTCGTACTCCGCTGCACCATTTCCGCTGCTTCCCCATCTTCAATCGCTGACGCGACACCCGAACACGATACCCATAAATCCACCTTTTCTTTCTCAATAATATTCACAATATCCCTGGTATATTCCTCCGCTCCTGAGTTTCCCCCGGGTTTCTGCAGACGGTAGAACGTTCGGAGTGATCTGGAGAAATGTCCAGAGACGGGGATATAGTAGGGCTCGAAATCTGCGCCGATGACGCGGTGGCCTGCGCGGTAGAAGGAGCGCGCGATGCTGAGGCCTTTGCTCATTCCTACCCCTGTTACTAGGATCGTGCGGGGAGGGGATTTAGAGTTTGTGCGCCATTTGAGGGGTTCTTGGATCTGTTTGGGGGTGATGAGGGGTGATATGAGGGTAGAAAGTATAGCTATCGATGTTAAAAGAGGGGTGAATGCTGCGCAAAGTGTAATAAGGAAGAGATTCTGAAGGTAGTGTAGAATCACAGGAGAACGAGCGTCGAGAGGCATTTTGATTTGATTGATGTGAAGAATCAAATCATCGGAATGTTAAGATGTCAATATGGACAATTGCATTTCTGGAAGAAGGTCTGAATACTGAGTTAGTTACATTGTGTTGTATTTATTAGACATTTTGCATATTCGGGGTTTGTTGTTGTTGTTGTTGTTGTTGTTGTCGATTGGAATGATGACGACAAGACTTCAGTAGCGTCGTCCCACGACGAATTTGTTTTTCTGAACAACACAATACTGGCTGACATCTCTAGACAGGCATGTTAACAATCATCCTAAATTTGCTCTGATTCTATTATTCTATTATTCCATTGTTAATTAGTACATACATATTTACACGCACTGGAAAAATCTCATTGAAGTCAGAAAATGTAAGACCCGAGAGAACATTATTAAGAGCTTTAGCTCAACTACTCGGGTAACTACCAGTATCTAGTTTCAAAAGGCGTCACGTCATATCAAAGTATGTAAAATGTAGATCCCCACATGTAACCTCATATCATCTTTCTCTTCCCCAGATGATCGTAGGAGTGTCCTACAATTATATCAGTTTTGAAATCGTGATCAATCCCATACAAGAGGGACCAGATACACGAATAAGATAGACACCCAAAGTTCCAATTCTCCCCCGCCAACTTCCAAGATGGTTTGCACATCAAAAAAAAAAAAAAAAGCCTATGACAAAATCTAATCAATCATTCGATTTGGATTTGCTCTTGAGATGGATGTAGTAATTAATTTTTACGGGAACTATCGATTGCTTTGAGAATGATTATATGCGGTATCATAATACACTGATATATTTACTATTTCCTTTTTACGTTCGAGTTTCTCAACATCTGTTATTGGAATATATGCCTGTAGTATGAATAGATCCAGATAATAATAAGTAGTATTAGTATCATCATAAAACAGCCTTATAGTTAACTCAACTTGATACGATATGATTGGTTTATATTCCAATTAAAACATGATGCGATGAACTTCATGTCAAAAATCTCCAAAATTGAAATACATACTTTGATTCGCTTGATCTTCTCTATAAGTACTAAATACATCACCCTATTCCAAACCTATTTACATACCACTTCATTCCTACTATACTGCGCATTTCTCAAGCCCGTGTTTGTCAAAGTGGACAAAAGAAATAATGATTGTGAAGCAAGTGACTAATAAACGGTTGGTTTGAGAACAGTACAGGTGACGTAGTACCTACAGTAGTAGGTCCTAATAGTCACCATTAGAATCTGATTCATAAACCGAAGTTTCTGATGGCTCAACATCAAACTCAATTTTGTATTCCCCAGACTCAGCTTGACGCTGGCTAGCAGCGAGTATTAGCTCTAGGATAGCCTCATGCTCTCCCATGGCAGCCCAGTAATAGGGCGTTTGACCTCCTTCATCCTTTAAATCAACTTCAGCCTGGTCAGTTGCTAGTAGTAGCTTGACAACAGCCTCATGACCTGTCCTAACAGCCCAGAAAAGCGGCGTTCAACCTTTTTTATCCTTTGAGTCAACCTCAACCTGATCCGTCGCGATTAACAGTTTTACAACAGACTCATGTCCTTCCTTGGCAGCTTTAGACAGCGGCGTCTGTTGATAACAGTCCTTAGAATCAGCATCAATCTGGTTAGTTGCTAACAATAGCTTGACAACAGATTCATGCCCTTTCCTAGCAGCATGTGATAATGGCGTCCGTCCATAATAATCCTTCGATTCAGCATCAACCTGGCCAGTAGCGAGTAGCATCTCCACGACAGCTTCATGTCCACGATCAGCAGCATGCCATAGTGGCGTTCGACCACTGCGCCCATCCTTTACGTCTGGATGAATCGTATCAAGTAGCATCTTGACTATATCTTTGTGCCCTTCCCCAGCAGCGAATGCCAGTATTGTCCGACCGCATTCTTTCTTTGACTTGTGCGACGATGGATTTCTACGAAACCATGCCAAAGAGTACTCATCTTGTGCGTCTATAAGTTTGTTACCTGCTTTTTCGTATTCTCCCAAGTCATTCAATATCGCTATATCGTTCCATAATCTAGTGGCTTCTCCTAAAGGTCCTACGCGCTCTACTCTTGAAAGTAGGGAAGCTTGACGAAATATCTCAGCCAAGGTCTCATATTCTTCTCCATGCTGCATGTTTCCATAGGAGCTCTCCCAGTCCCAAATAATTACAAAGTCCCGCAAGAATTGTGTTTTTGATCTTGAAATTTGAGGCCATTCATCACGGATCAGCACATTTAAAGGAGTTGCCGCAATCACGACCACGGCAAAGTGATCCTTACACAGTCTGATTATCGAAGGTTTGGAGGCTCCATCTAGAAGGCAGATAATATCATGCTCTTGAATGGGTTTCGCTGAAGCTTGAAGGGTCCATTCCAATGCTTCACCAAAGTATTTCGTATAGATGTTAGGTTTGATACCTATATGCTATTTATCGTACCTCCTTACGGTAGATACCTGGCCAATAATGATGCCCTTGCATTCGATCACTGCTCATTGACTAGAAGTCTTCAGGATTACATCTTTACCGAGAATAAACTTGACAAGTTGCTGGAGCACTTCTTCCCACGAAGTTTCGTAATTTGGCTGTAAGCCAGCCTTTTCAGGATCTTCAGAGCTCATACCAAGCAAAGCATAAACCTTATCGCGACGGTCTGTAGCTTGACGGATATGGAACATGTCTATCAATTCAGCTAAAGATCGTATCTTTAGGGAAAATATTTCTTGCGAATTCGCTTTGAATTTAGGTTGGAGACCAGCCCGCTCTATTATTTCAATAACTGAAGGAAGAGTCTGCAGTTCCGGAGAATCTGTATAGGAGAGCTCTAGAGACTTCACTCCCGCGCAGAATGCAGATCCAGCAATGGTTATCGAGCCACACATAATTACGACATGTTGAGCCACGGCGACTTCCTGAAGCACCTGAAGTAACCAAGTCAATATCGTCTAACAACTTTGGCTGAGAATGTGTTTCTCACCCAGATACGTTGGAACCATGGATTTTGAAGAAATTTGATTATGTGTTCCTTCTTGACCACTTCCTTTGAGTTTCTTCCTGGCTTTTCATTAGAAGCTACTTGTATGTCCTCAAGTACCCCCTTTATTTCTTCTATCTCCTCTCCAAGCCAAACTACAACACGACTCGCACTGTTATAAATCCTTGCCATAAGCTGAACTTGCTGTCTCCGCTCTTTATCGTTGTTTTGATTAATGCAGATAGCATCAACCCATAGGATCCGTTCGAAAGAGTGATCTCGAAGACGCAACAGAGCAGCATGTAAATTCACTGTGACTTGAAACTGTCTCTTATCTACAAAGATTGGCAAAGTATTGTTCGGATCACCCCATACATAGGATACAGCCTCATACAAGTGAGCTCGTGAAGTTGATCTTCGTAGAGAATAATCTCGAAGCTCGCAATGTAAAGGTGCAGCCTCATCTTCACTTGGTAATAATAGAAGCAGGCGAATATTCTCGCCACTTTCTGGAAGCGATGAATATGAATAGGAAGACATAGCAGATGATACTACAAATTAAACATTAAATTTTGTTGAAGGTACATAGATGCCTAGAGGTACTCCCTCACAAGTGCGGGGTCGTCAGCAGCACGTGATATTGATGCTCACCTGACCAGATTTCGCGTTTGTGATATCGATCTATGATCTTCAGCAAGATTATGAAGGACGAGAATCCTACGCTGTTGTAGAAGAGCAGTTAGCGATAGACAAAAAACAGATAATGGTAAGATACGTTTGTAGTGATAAAGCTCCTTACTGAACTTCGTAGGGAAATCCCCGAGTGATCTATTCGCCAAGGACAATAGAGATATTTATTGATACGCTGACTGAACTAGATGCAACGATAAATTAGCACGTTTTCTTTAATATATTTGGACCCGAAGCGCTTCCTTACATGCTATCTATAGATACTCCCGTCACTCTAGCGATACTACATGAATGGTTGAATACTCAGACCGATCGATCAGTTCAACATCTCAACAATACCTCAACCCTTCATCAAGTACCAACACACTCAACCAATCACCACACCTTTGTCGGATCTTCTTCGACCACCCTCCATACATTCAGCAAGATTAGTTACTGCATAGTCTCCTTATATTTTACCCAATGCTCAGTCATCCAATCTCACCATACGCATGCTCTGTCATACCTACCCATCACCTCAACCCTCCGTTCCTCTCTAATCCTCATCCACTCTCCAACTACATACTAGCACAATCATCAGGAAAACTACACCCATAACCATAGAAATTTTTAACCTAAAACCCAGCCTCTCATCTCAATTTCATATTCCCTCTTCGCTTGAAGTATAGAATTGCGTACATATTACATCATGCCATAACATATCATACACACCACACGATACAAAATCACAGCACCAACTTACTGAATGCTCATCGAAGCACTTCTCTCTCATCTCATCTCCCCAGAAGCTTAGAAACTCGGAATCTTAGAACATATAAAAATCTTCGAAGTCTCCTGTTATCTCCACCATCTCCACTATCAATTATCATTTTCATCATCATCTATCTCAATCTCAATTCCAATCTCATGCTCATTCTTAACCACCTTCTCCTTTCCTACTCCTCCATCCCCTCCCCCATCCATCCAAAGTCAAATCTCGAATTGCAAAACCCCAATCACTCAACAGGCAAACAAGAAAATAAAGAAATATCATACAACCTTCTCTCTTACTATCTATTCTCCCGCAAGAACCTCGCTACTCGCACATCACAAAAAAATCCACATACACATAAACATAGCAACCAACCAAGGCAAACCCAACCAGACAAACGCCCGGGGTTGTATCATGATCCTCGCAAAGACGTAGATCGAAAGATCGAAAAGAAGAGTCACCCACACTCCGCTACCTAGGTATACAATGGACAAATCATCCTATATGATATTCCTTGCGAATCGAATCCATTTCACCCCACCCCCGGACCCTTCAAAAACATCGAAAAAATCCCGCTCAAGATGAATGGATAATGATCATGATAATAATACACAACATACAAACAAGCAAACAGACAGATAAACAGATGCGTATGTATGCATACACATACACTTGTGATTTTTCTCACCACAAGACAACGAAGGATGAGGATGAGGATGAGAATAACACAACATAACATAACATAAAATTGGCTCGATTTGACTTGGCTCGGCATACATGCATGCATGCATACAATAAAAAATATATAATACAAGAATCAAAAGATGAATAATAACGACACGAAGGATGAAACACCCCAAAAAGAATTCCCTGGTCCCCCGTAAACTCCCGTCTTGTAAGTTTTTAAATGCATGTCCGCCTGCCTGCCTGCCTATTTGGAAGATGGAATCCAAGCGGTAAATTCCCGACCGTTCGTTCCAATCCCTACATTTGAACCAATCGATCCACCCATTCGTCCAATCGCATTTAATCCAACCCAAATCCGATTCAACCCAATCCAATCCAATCCACCAAGAATGAGATATTAAATTTTCGTTGCTTGAAAATCACAAGATCGGAAAGCGAGAAAGGGGGCAAGATAGAGATGAAGAGATGTGCACATGGTGTTCAACAATTAATCAATAAATGGCGCCTGGCAGCCCGCCCGCCTGTATGGAATTTATTTCCTTCTTCGAGAGGGATCCGGATTTTGCAGGAGTCCGCCGATATCCACCCGGCTACTACGATCGCCCTGTCCCCTGACATCCATTGGAGGTGCCTGTCCACGTATGGGCGGGAGTTGCAGATCCGATGTTCGTTGCGTTTGAGTCTGAGTTTGGGGCTGTGAGGGCGCTTGTGCTTGTGCTTGTTGTGGTGGTTGTGCTTGAGGTTGCGCTTGGCCTGATAACATATCACCCATGGGCGCTTGCGGGTAATTCATTTGCGCGCGGGAATATTCCGGCGCTCTGGTTGGGGGTTGTCCATATGAAGAATTATTATTTGGCATGGCGACGGTTTGCGCTGGAGTTCCCGGATTTCGATATGCTAACATGTCGCTCCCAAAAGGAGGATTCGACATGAACGGCGAGGTTCCTGGGGTTTGAGAAGCATAGGATAATTGGCTCGGGGTTTGGTATGCATAAGTGGAGTCACGAGATAAGGAATCTCTCGAATACGGCGAAGATGCTTGTTGGAACGATTGCGGCGTGGTTGGGATATGAACCACCAAAAGCACAAAATAAATCGAATCCTTTTTTGCGAGGCCCAATTGCACGTGAAAGCCCCTCTGCTGACCGTCTGGTGTCTGGAACGTAAAGACTTCCGGTCGATCGGTTCTTAATTGCTGCATCTCGTTGGGTGCAAATGTCAAGGACTGAATCACCCTATCTTCCTCCTCTTTCGAAAATATGGGAGGGAGATAACTTGGATCTCGACTTCGTCGCTCATCTTCGAATCCGCTCTGTAATCGGAAAATCTTATCTCGATCGCTAACACTCACAATATCATGTAACTTTCTCCCTACGACTGAGTGTGCACCGACCACTCCCGAAAAAGCCTGCGTTGTTTTGGCGATTTGCATTTCCATGGTGAGAAATGCACATGCTGGTTCATAAGGTACCATACGCTGATTTGCCGGCATCCCTTCTCCGTAAACGTTGGTATTTATTGGTGTGGGAACCATTGAGTGGTTCATTGGATTTCCTCCTTGCGATTTGAGAACTCTATATCCACTGTTCCGCTGAGCATCAGAATATGGAGTCGAAATCGAAACGTCGCCAGTAGAGAACATGGGCATTGGTCTTCTCATAGTATCTGCCGGCGGTGGATAATTCGATCCTGCTCCGTCGTATCGAGGCTCGCGCTCATCTCTCAGCCTTGGACGCCCCCTTTTTTTGTGTTGAACATCAACACACGTATCCTCCTTTCCATTGCTTAGACATCTCGAACATGGCCGTTGAGCTAAAAGTAGAATGAGATTAGTGTTCGAGTATCCTGAGTTTAACCCCAACAGGTTGTGCAATAATTAGGGTTATCTTGTGAAGTTTAGGATTGTTCGTGAAGTTTGAAGGAACTTCTATGCGGAATGGACCGCTTGGTTCGTATTTGAAAGTTTCATATCCATGGGCCATCATTGTCCCAGAGCTTTGGTTGAGTGTTTAGCCAAGCCTAGTACAAGAGCACCTCGTGTTGTACGACACCCTGCCTAGTACATGCTGCAACATACATGGATAGGTTAGGATCGGGAACATCCCATGGTAAACATGAAAGATTCCTCAACACTCAGCGCGCCACGCCCGAATATTATACTCTTATGCGTGTTTGATGCGAAGGCCGAAAAGATAGTCGTCACTTGATCCAACTTTCATTTTTGCACTTGTTCGCCCGCCCCCTTGGTGCCGAACACGGCAATTCAAACCACCGATCGAACCGTTGGAGCTGCCACTAATAGTAGTATTAAGCTACTGGAGCATGTTACTAAACAAATACATTGCCTTAACAAAGATTTAAGTATCCTGGGCACATGATGAAATGATTTGCCTAACAAATTATGTTTCCACAATTACTGGTGTTCTCGCTTGAGAATGTAATGATAGATCTGTTCCCGTCAATCGCATCGAGGACAATCTTTTGCCATTGAATCTTATTAAGAGTGCCTCGGGGTAGTGAATGAAGGTACAATGAGGTTTAATGTGTAGTTGAATATCTTGAAGGAAAAAATAACATGCGCCCAAACTAGAAACTTTAAGAAACGTACCGTCACATCTAGAATAAGTTAGCACAAGGCACAAAAACATTCTAAGATCACTTACCTAAGATGGGCCCTTTTGCAAGGTACACAAGCAGATGCCACATGCCCTTTAGTTTTCCTCTGTGACTTTGGAGAAGTGTAGCCAGGGGCTTCTCCGATTGATTGTCGTTCCAATGCCGGATATGGCGCAACTTGTTGAGCGGCATATAGAGCATGAGGGTGTTGATGGGGCGCCATCTGCGGCCGAGGTTGCTGATATTGGTATTGTGCCGACATGTCTTCCATTTGATATTGTGGATATGAGAGCTGAGGTTCCGGCTGGTAATTCCTTAAAGGTACACCACCTCTCATCTGATTGAAATGTTCTTGTTGAGAAACGCGTCCATCTCGGAAGACATTTCCCGTTGACCCATAGCTTCCATGACCGCGATCGCTGGAATCCAGGTTGTGTCTACCGGGAAGTGGAGGAGACCCTGACATGGGCGGAGAGGGATATGCCCAAGACTGAGCTCCGTCGGGTACCACTCTGGCCCAACTCAGGTCAAGAGAAAAGCGAGCCAGGTCTGATTTTCCTCGCCGTTCACCTAGCGGGACAATTGAATGATCGACTTGGTTCGTTGGAGATTGCATGGAAATGATCGTGTCCTAGTGAGGTTGCAAAATCCTCAAGAAGGTCAACGCTGTTTCGATGACAGCACAATGCCTTCTTAAAGGTATATATAACACGCTCCGGGTTATTTCCCAAGCGGGATGCCCTTTTCAAAATCAAGGGGATATACAAGTTCGATTTCCTATTTATTTGACAATGCT